TTCAAGCCCTGATGAAAGACAACAGTTACATTTTTTTTGATTTTCTGTCTCGAAAAGTATTAATTGATTTCTAGTAAGTTATATAAAAACTACTGACTCTTAAAAGGTAAGTTTTAGCTTTTAGCTATGAAATAATGAAAAGTCTGAGCCATTGAGAATCAAAAATGCAGTGAAACACTAATTTTTCAAAATCTAGAAGGTTTAGAAATTTGTTTTCTGTTAATATTAATTTTTGAATTCTGATCAATTTATCTTCTAGCTAGTTAGATATCACTGAGATGTCCTATTAATCAGTCGCATTACTGTATAGGTTTTGAATTCAATTGTATTGTGTTGCAGCTAGAGTCGGTGTTGTACTTCATAAATTTTGCAGCGTTTGTTCAAAACAGAAGTGATCTAATTGGTAAATTTTTATCATACGGACGACTATTCAACTTGTATAATACATTTCTAATAGCAAACAGGATAGCGAATATGTGTAGCTTTTTTGGTGGCTTCAGTACACGGCAACTTTTCAGTGTGCGTGGTGTTTCCTCCTTTGATCTATTACGGTGAAACAGTAGCTCAAACTAGACCCAGCAACTAACACAGTCAGGCCTAAGGCCAGTCTGTTAACCATAGTCATTGAAGCTAACATCGGATATGGCCATTTATTGTACGCCAGACCGATTCCCATCATGCCGATAAAATAGAGAAGACTAAGAAAGCAAAATGTTTTCACCGAGTTAATCGCTGAAAATGAAGATTTCACATGATCACTTCCTGTTTTGGCGCTTTTAGGATAGAAAAGAAGATCGAAGACCGGAAATAGTATGATGGCTGTATGATAAGTGTGGATGATCCATGGTGGAACTGTGATTAACCCCTGGTCGATATATTTTTTAAGTTCTGGTGACCTGAGTAGATTCGGGTTGTAGAGAAAAATAGCCCAAAACATGATAAACACCATAGTGCTCAGTGGTAAAATAGTGCTGAGTAGAAATTGTTTCGTCCTGATGATTTTTGAGACGTCGGTGAAGTTTTCAAGTAACCTGAAGATCCAGTATATGGTAGAAAGGACGAAGTTGTAAGTTGTGAGTTTGAGGAACCGGTCTCCGATTGTTCGGCCTGGCCACGAGAGAAAAGCGAACTCGTAGTAAAAAGTAAATGCATGAACGAGTAGAACCAAAATGTGAAACAAAACTGAAAGTTTTCGTTTTGTCTCCATTGTTTCAATTATTGATACTGTTATAAATGGGCTGGAGATTAATAAAAACAAGTGGTCAATAGAGAGAGATGAGAGAGATATGAAGTCTATTCAAAGGTGGCGAAATGATAAACAGTTGATATTGGTTTAATGTCACTTAGTCTTAAAGAAATTAATTGGACTTCAGCCTAGGATTTCAGTTTATTATTTCAGCGGTTGGATGCGTAAACAGATAAACTTTACAGAGTAAACTGTTGGTGAAAGTCTTCGCATTTGGCCGCAATGTTAATTTCAGAGTTTGATATTTTGAGAAAAGACAATAATATAGTCAGTCAATTCTACAGACGAATCGAATGAACTTTTTCTCTTTTTCACAGAAACTGGTTCTATGTTGCATATTTATTAAATCTTTTCACTGTGTTGATGTAATATAATGAGTTTTTGTATCATGTAGTTTTCTGTAATATAATTTGCTGTTGTAGCATGTAGTTTTCTGTATCTTTTTTGTTAGAATCTGCAGAAACAAGTTTGAATTGAGCTCTGCAAGTGAGTTATCGCTGATATCCGAGAGGTCACGACTGTCAAAATGGTAGCTCGAATTGAACAAGAAAAGTAGTAATATATGATCGAATGAAGTTGTTACGTCACAGTTTCAATTTCTATCCACATGAAAGAGTTCAAATAACAGGGAATTGGAATTCGAATCAACTTGAAAGGTTATTTTGACGGCGACATTTGCAGTAAAATAAAGGACACTGGACCTGTTTTAAGCTAATATTTCTTTCAATAACATTCGGAAATAGCTCAAAATTAACGGTCCAGTGATATAAATGAAGTCTGTTTCTGAAGTCCTGGACAATAAATTCGTTATTTCTTCGAAGCCTTCAAAAAGCAGAATTTCTTTTATTTTACTTCAAGTAGTTTTTTTTGGTTAATTTATGTTTTTCTTGTTACTTACTGGAAATGAGATTAGTTGTATGTTCTGCGGGAATAAAACGTAAGGAAACAAAAAACGTAAGGAAAAAAGATGGGCTAAAAGGTTCAATTTCCAATCTACTTGAAATTGTGATTGTTTTTCTGTTTTTTTGCGAATTGGATGAGTTCCGTGGTAATACTAATACTGTGTGTGGTAGAATAAGAATTGCAATGGATGTATTCAATGAAAATGAGTAAATGCGGTCGCATTTTCATTACACTCCTATGTCTTAATCTCTTACGTCACCTACCGCCCTCCAGGCTCCTCTTTCTATGCTGAAAACTACTTCAATCGCGCTTTTCAGTCTAGACATTCAAAAATTGAACTTGCTTCTAATTGCATAAAGAAAGCGTAAAATAAGTAATTGATATTCTTGCATTTAAAAGTAATCTGGTTATTCTGCTTTTTTGTCAAAAACGATTGGTGTTTTATTAATTTACCGGCGGTCGGTTTTTGAGCTGAAGTTGTGTAATTTGTGTTTGTTTTAACCCTTTCGATGGTCGGTTTTTGTGTCAAAAATTGTATTTTGCTGTTTTGTTGCTTTTTTTCTTTTTAAGAATTTGATTCCATGAATAAGATTTCTGGAGTGAAAGTGGATCTATTGCTGTCGATGCGTGAAAGCATACAAGTAGAGTGAGTGCTAGGAATGAGGTAATTTTTCAGAGGTAAAAAGTGGTTAAATCCAATTTCGATCTGCTGTAATCCTCAACAGGATGTTTTCTCCCTCGGCATCAAATTGATTGCAAATCAATCGATCTTGTTAAAAGCTTTTTTTGTTTTGAAAATTCATCTCTCTTTTTTTGCTGATTTATGTTTGTGTTCATCCAAGGAATATAAATAAACCATCTGCTATGTTTTTGTACTCCACATAAAACATTGTTTTATGCTTCATTTTTGTGAGCACTTGAGTGTAGTTTGTTCTCAACGCTGCAAGAGATGGTCATGAAGTGCTCTGATGCTGAATTTGAGAACTTTCGTTGATAAAACGCGACGAAATCTGCGGTGCCATTGCCAAGAGTGGGGCTGCGGTGGCAATGATAGTCGGTTTTAATGATTTTCACTCTTGTATATGTTGGTAAATTTGATTAAAGTTTTGAATGTGAAATAAACATAAATTTTTCTAAAGGGTTAATTATTTAAAACGTGTATTTATGCTTGCAGAAGATTTTTTCGTCATAATTGCAATTCAAATGAAAAATGGTGAATTGGGCAATTGCAGAAAATGACTCTTATTGAGTCTTACTTCAATGAGCTTGAAGTCTTATTTTTTTTGTTTGAAACTCAAAAATCAGACATTTAAATAAAAATGAGTTTCTCGAGTTCATTGCACTTGCGAAAGCAAGTGTCTTGTAATCATGAACTAGACTTTTTCCCGCAAACAACTTTTCTTACCCATTTGTATGAAATTGATGTTGCGTTGTTATCGAACTTTAGCAACTTTTAGGCGCCTTCCCACTTAATCTGGAGGTAATGCACTTACCTGTTTACCCTATGGTCCGGGGTTCGAGGGTTTTTTCAGTGATTGGTAAACTTTTTTCCCGGGAAAAATTGAATAGTTTGACTATTGTTTGCCGACTTCTGATTTTTGGCTTAGCTGCCACACCGCAGATTTTTTTGCGCATAAGGCAGTTTTCATTTTAGTTTTTAACGTTGATTAACTCCTATCGTTCCTAATTTGCTAACCCTGACTGCTAGATTTTTCCAATCAATCATCTTTTTGAATCAATCAGGTTGGTTGGAATAAAAATTTAAAATACTTTTTTTGCTCAAAATTTTTATGACAATTTCCTTTCCATTTTTTCCCGGTAAAATTTGAATTGTCGGAAATTTCTTTTTCTGCTCAAGTTTTGTCGGCTTTGTTGTCACATCACGCAATTTGCCTGTGCTGTTAGCAACTGTGCTGTTGCAAGTGTTGTTCAATGTAGTTTCAGGGGGACTTGAAAATTACAAAAACATATATTTATAAAATCTTTTTTTTTTCGGCTCAATTTGTTTCTACTACCTCAAGGAAAACTCGTATATGGTTAAGAGTAGTTTCATATTGAAGCTATTTTAGTCATGATTTGGCTTGTTAAAAATTTCAAAAATTTCTCTTGTGTTTTCGTTTTTTTAAATTAGTGGAAATTCGATAAGAAGCTGGTCTCCTAGTTGCAACGTTAATTTAATTATAGTTACCAATATTTCTTGTATTTTGTCCTAATTGAATGGCCACTTCTAGAAAATATCATTAAATTTGGACAAAAAATTGCAAATTTTTTTTTAGTCGATGAATGTAGTGAAGACTATTATATAGGTCGTGACGATTTTTTTTTCGTTTTTTGTTTCAGGAAAAGTCTTAAAACTTGTTCACGGTAAAATTTCTTTTCATGTTCAGTTCATTACTTTTAATAAAAGGAACGCGAACTCAACTATCGAACAGCCAAAGTGTAAAGGTCGCGAAAAACGTGATGAACTTAGTTTCGAAAGTAGATTTTCATTGTTACCCTTGCGATAAGCAAGGTGTTGCAATAGAGTACTAGACTTTTCCCGTAAATAACTTTGTTCACCGGACTAATCTACACTCATTCATCTACTTGCTTTATTATAAAGTCAATTTCAATCAACCATCCGGCCCATTTGGCGTAGAGGTAGGTAACACACCTGCTTGAGACGGAAAATTTTTTAATCTTTCAAGGCCTATTTACACAATGTTGTATTTTCCTGCATCTTAAAGCGCTTTTGGCTGTTCGTGTGAGCAATTTGCAGCTTTGTTTCTGTGTTAAAATAATTCTTTTTTTCAACTTGTTTTTAAAAAAATTATGATGATTAATAGTGGCCCTTAATTATGTCTTTTTACAGTTACGAGAAACTCAATCTTGCGCTTCACTGGCTACCAGCAAAGCCCTCATCAAACTCGCAGTTTCGCTTCTGACGAAATCTCCCCACGCACACATCGGATGTGTTGCACAATACATTGCCAGTCTGCTCTATTTATCAAACAACTCCCCAAATGAACAATCACTCACAGAAAACTCCATAGAACAGAAATTGGTACTGTTGCGTAATCATTCCTTGTACTGTCTGATTAGCGAAGCCTTTTCATTGGATGGATCGAAATTGAACACCTCGTTTTGCTCAATGGTCCAGGAAGCTATTGGCTTCGACTGGATCTTATTATTTTTATGCGATCCAAAAATTCACGAAAGTACAGTAGTCGCAGCTTTCAGACTTCTAGTAATAATTTTACTGAGCCCGACAGGCATGAGTAATTTCAAACATGGAAGTTATAATGGTAACTGGTTGAGCATTACTAACTCAGCCTTGCAACATCCATACTCGAATAAACCTCTATCGCATTTCGATCCTCAGAGTTCATCTCATGTAACAGTAAGCCGACAGCAATCATTGGCGGCCATGGGAATTGTAAATACAAATTCTGGCAATGCAAATGGTAACTCGGATGTTATAACCCCTGCTTCGTCAAAAGGTGCTGCCGCAGATACGAGAACTGAATCGATAGATGAAAACTTGTGTGTCGGAGGAGCTTCAGCTTCGGCTCATGCGAAACAGAATGGGTTCCGACCGGCTTTTTGCGCAGTTAACGGCTTCGATGCACTCCAATATTGTATGGCTCATCATACTCACGTGACGCAACTGTACTACTTGTTGTTTGCATTGACGCTATCGAAGATTCCTATCAGAGATCCACCAGGACCCAGCGTACAGGTAATTTACAGTTAAAAAGTTATCTCTGAAACATATTAATGTCTAAGTATGTTTTCATTACGACTCAGTGGTCTTTTATCATGCACTTTTAAAGAAATTCCATTCAATCAAATTTAAAAAAAAAACATTATTCTGACGTCCTCAGAAATAGCCTTTCTGCAAGTTAACGATTAATTGCTCGCGTTCATATAATTATTATAACAAGCTTACGTTCGAGTGTTTTGCTTCTTTTTATGCTTTTAAAAGCCAATGAACGTTGTTCAGACTCTTATATAGGTCGTGTTTTTTTTTTCGGGAAAAGTCTAAAATGCTTCAATAACTACAGAATGTGCATGCAAGCATATTAATGCATTTATGAATGCCATTAATACAGTGCTGATTTAAATAATCCAGGCAAAATGAATAAAACTTGAAATTTAAAATGGCTTTTTCTCAAATTGGATTGATTTTAGACAAAAACTGATGAAGACCAATCTTGCTTAACCGAATTAATATGGTGCTATTTGTTTTGCAAAATTCGGGCTCAAAAATTTACCCCAAAAATTATCATTTTTGGCTTTGTTTACTGACCAAACTATATCAATGCAAGCCTCTCATATAGCCAAACAAAATTTAACAAGAGTGTAATCTCTAAAAGTGGGCGCAAAAGATTTTTATTTAAAAAAATTAATGTTTTACGTAAAAATGACAATTTTGGCTATTAAACGAAAATTAATGTTCATACAAAATTGAGAAAGTTATACCATTCTTAAATTTTTTTAAATTTGCTCCTCAATTACGGAAGAAATGGCGCGTAAAAATGTGATCGATATCTAGTTTCGAAGGTGGATTTTAATTTTGAGATTTCTCAGTGGAATAAATATTTAGCTAACACTCTAGCTAACACTTCAGCTAATACTTTAGCAATTTTTTCAAATTGGGTTTATTTTATCAACAAGGGTGTATATGTATTCATTGAAATTCGAAATTTGAAGTTTTTCAAAAAAAAAATGCAGTTTTTTTTTCTGTTTCTTTGCGTTCATGGACTATTTTCCAACTGTCTATTGGCTACGTTTTAGTTTTCCGGGCAGGAGCTGTGTGCTTATGCTGACTTCAGATACCCCCACTCGCACTCTCCCCAGAGAACCAACCCACAATCTCCCCCCTCTAGCAGCAGTACCACCCCCGTCTCCTCATCTGCAAACATCCTCATCGAACCCCTTCAAGTCATCATAGTCATGCTACAACATGCAATCCACAAGGTCAGTTGGTCACTAGTTTAACGTCTGATTTATTTGACTGTGTTTTAGCTGAAATTATTATGCAACTTTTTTTGAAAATTCTTCATATTCTCAGATGCTTTTAACTATCGGGATTTCATTTCAATGCGAGAGAAGCAAATTCACTATTTCGCGGTTTTGATATAATTTCAATATTCTGTACATATTTTCAAGAACCGGAAGACTCATTTGGATGTGTCAATTCAGACCACCCCCCTCTCTCGTGGTGTGTTAAGGTTATTGTTGTATCAATCAAATTGATTAACTTCGTTTTCTTGAATTTTATTTGGAGCTTTTAAGGCTGAGTGTTTAAAAATATTTATAATAACGCTTTCAGGTTGAAATTGGGGCTAAAAAGACCCCTACAACCTCTGTCAGTGTCAGCGTTGGATCCCCTTTAAGGGGAGAACTCCTTGGCACTCTTGAGGAGATGCCAAATTCCGAATCTGACCGTGATGTTTTTCAGGCAAGAGCTGAAGTTGGAATGCAACATGCATCGATTTGTTACTGACTCCCTTAACTTAACCTTCATAGATATTAAGATGCACTAGTTTTAGTATGTAGAAAATAGTAGTTCCCCTTAACTGTTATTTTTTTTTGTTTCGTTGATTTAATGGTCATGCTGCTTTTTTTCATTCCTAAATCTTTGAGTTCCTGCCTTCCTGATTTTTGTGAGCTCAGATATCGAGGAGCTGCATAATCATTATATCATTGTGGGTGTTTTTCGTATTTGCGACACGGAATTTTGTCTGAACTCCTGGATCAAAATTTTTGTGAATAAGACTAATTATCAAATGAGTACAATAGCTTTTTGTCCTACAGACAACAATTAAAATTATCATCAGTTTCAGTGAAATGCAGCTAAATTAGTTCCAGATTGATGTTTTTTCCCTTGCTCGAGACCTTGCGCACAGTTTAACGCTAGAAGATAGTATTAATTGTTGTTATACAGTTGTTGTGTTTATCCGTTGGCCCCCAAAATTATTGTAGTTTTTGAGCCACAAAATATTGTTTTTGCTAATTTTCAGCTATCAGTGGAAGAGCGAAGCAGGCGCGAAAGCGACTCTGAGATCTCTAACACTCTCACTGGCTCTACGTCAATCACAAACATCATAGACAGTCTCTTGCAACTCCTCCAGTCTCTAAACCACGCCAGTGTGGTCCAGTTCTTCACAGCACCAGTTCTAAACTGCATAACAGGAGTTCTATTCCCGCCTAACATCTCCTACAATCAGTGCGCGAACCAGAGAGTCAAACAGAATCTCCTGGACCTGCTGTGTGGCATCGTGATTCAAAGTACACTCTACCCTTTGCCACAGAAATCATTGCCAGTGTTCGACATAATTCTGGACTCGTGTCCGATTTTCAACGAAGGTAGTACAGAAGTGCAATCAAGCGCAACAAGTACGACAGGTGATCGATGTTCGAGGCGGTCGAAGCTGGAAAAGAAACAGTTCACGACTGATATAACCCATCATGTCATGGATTACGTAATTAAGGCGGAAATAATGAACCCAACTGCGGCTGCTTTGCCGTTCACGCCTGGAGGTAACCAACAACACATTCCGAGTCATTTAGTTTATCTTTGCAACAGATTTGTTGACCTCATGTGGCAAGAAATGTTGAACAAAACACCCTCAGAAGTGATCGAGTTTCTCTGTCGGCTAATTCAACAGTCGGACTTCGGGGCTTCTCAATCAGAGATTGGTTTCTACTCGGCTTTGAATAGAGTGTTGATATACGATTTGACGAAACTGCCAAATGACCAGCTGTTAGACCAGATGGGGACTCTCGAGTGTTTCAGAAAGTGAGTTTTTTTGGTTTAAATATAGTGAAGGCTCTTAATTAGTTCTTGATATTTTTTGATTTTTTTCCCCACGAAAAAGCCTTAGTTTGTTCACGCTCAGTTTTGATCTTTACGTGGTTTGACTTTTGATTGCTGAATATGTTCAGTTCGTTTCCTTTACTAAAATGAAGGCAAACTCGAACTGCAAAACCATAAAAATCACGAGAAACGTGATCGATTTCGAGTTTCGAAAGCGGGTTTTAGTCTCACATTTCCCTGTGTGTTAAACAAACGACTGATTCAGTTTTCTCAAATTGGTATATTTTTATCTAAAAAATGTCCATCATAAATTTAGGGAATATGTTTTTTTTCTGTTTAAATCATAATTTTGAAGTTTTTTAAACAAGTCAGTATTGCTGTTTTCCTGCCATCGTTGACACTTTTATAAACTCTCTGTTGGCTGTTTTTTTTTTCGTGAAAATCGAAAGTTCAGTACGGCTTTTCCAACATTCTGGCACAGAACTTTGTCTTCGGGTCTGTTTTGATTTTTTGAAAACGTTTTCCCGCAATAAATAAGGTACTAAATAAACTTATCGGAGTGGGTCGACTGATAAATCATATGAAAACAGTTTCATTCGCGATTTTGTGTCGAAAAACTGGTTTTATGTTTTGACAAATTACATTATCTTGTAGCAACTTCGAGTGAATAAAGCTAAAGAGCCGGTTTTTAATAGGAATATAAAATTATTTAAGACGTGAAAATGTTGTTTTACTGCAGCAAAATAAGCAAGGATGTTGCGAACGGATATCCTATAAATAGTTCACTAGATGACTGAAATTGGTGGTCTGCCCTTAAACTAGTTTGCTCAAATTGAGTTAATTTTATCAAAAAATGTCAACCATGAATCTTTTACGCTTGGGATTAGTAAGCCTTATCAAATCGGAATATAGACTTTTTTTGAATTAACAACTAGTTAACAAAATCGGTAGAATCACTTATGATGCTGCTCTGCTGCTGACATGCTCAATTTCATGAAAATTCAAGTTTAATCAAGTGGTACTGTTGGATATAAATTTTGAGCATGAAAAATTTCATTTTAAATTCCAAATACCTCGGTTTCATAGTTTCTTTTAGCGCCTTTCTTGGAAATATATGTTTTTTTTTAAAACTTTTTATTGACTTTCTTTTGAAGAATACTGAGGTCGAATATGCCGAATTTACTTTGACTATCAATCATGCATAAGTTCTAGGCTTTAGTTCAGATCCTCTGATTACACCACGGGGAAAATTTACACAATTTCGAAATTATTTTTATGGTCGGAATTTTCTGTTTTTTGACCTAACAAAGCTTATGAAACTTAGCAAAAAAAAGCTTTTTTCTTGTCAATGGATGTAAAAATAAGTCCTGTATATTGGGTAGCTGGAATATTAATGTGAGAATGACGCTGATTGTGGGAATTGTAAATGGATTAGATCGCGAACATTCACTAGACACTTCTGAACCATTAACTACATGGATTTTGTTCAAAACGCTAAATTGTTAATCTTCGGAGAATTATTTATTTTTGAAAGCCGTGAAGTTGAGTGAGTTTTGCACGTTGGGAAAAGTGTTTCCAATCTTGATTACATGTAAATGGCCATGCAACTTATGTGATTTGTTTTCTTCAGGTACGTAGGCAAGCGAAAGTACATATTTGCTCCTCAAAACAACGACCTGAATTTCCTCGGAGCCTTGTGTTGCAAAATATTTAGCGTCGTAAGTTCGAGTAGGAACGCAAGTAATCGCGAATTTGTTCTGACCGGCTGCCAAAGGCTTTGGGACACGATCATAGACAAGAAAAAAGACCAAATTGAGAACATTTTCCGAGTGAATTTGCCTCAGGGATCAACTCGGGTTGATGTCTCGACTTTCGCTGACAAATTTAGGGAACCATCGCTGAAGTATTGGGTGAATTTTGTCAAAGACGAAACGGAACGAACTCAACAAGATACGTTCGCTCTCTACGCGCAATTAAACCAGTCAAAGATCTCAAGATGGGGAGGCAGTTTCACTAAAGGATTCGCAAGTTTCACCTCTAAGGGGTCAATCAAACAATCAGGGTCAGCTGTCAAAACTAGTTCACGTGTTCCAGTTGACCTTGCCGTACACCACTGGGTTAATAGTCACGCGCCTCTGGGTGCCGAAAACATCTCATCTGTGCAGTTACACCTGGAACAGCTGAAGAAGAATTTAGTGGAGGCAACTCCTGTCGATGAGATTATGAGTAATGGGTCGACGTTGCTGAGCGAGCGAGGCATTTGGGGCCCAATGCATGCAAGTAGATTCGATAAGTGGACCCTGGATATGACTGAGGGGCCGTGCAGGATGAGAAAGCGTATGAAACCCCATAAGAACTTCTACACTTTGTTCCCCTACAGGTAATAAGACTATTTGTAGCATAATTCAGGGATCTATGACGCTTTGAAGTATCTCAAACTAAAATTCCATTAGTGATTGAGTTGCACTAAAATTACCGATTAAGTATTTCAATTTTACTGTGGTTCACTAAACCTGGAGGCGTTTCAGTCGCATATATATTTTTGCTCTAATAAATTTTGAAGCAATATCTGCATTTTTTTAGGCATGAACAAGAGCAAAACAAATTTTCAACGCGCAAAAGAGCACCTAGTTCAGCCGACAGCAAACACTTCTATGCCAAACATGGTCTACTTCTGAAGAGAACGTCTTCAGTTCCTGTGACTCAAAGCACGCCGAGGCTAACTCAAAACACTCTAAGGTCTCAAAACACAGTCGATGTTGTAAGTACAACACCTCTATTGTCAAGAAAGAGAGTAGAATCTGAAAACCTAGGCAGTGCACTCAGAAACAGTCAAATTGAAGAAGAACAAGATATTGCAACCCTTGAGGTCCCGAACGAAGAGTTTGATGAAGTTAATGATACGAACGCAGCAGGTCAAGAAGAACTGGAATTACAGGCGAGTATAAGGGAAATGCAGTTGACATCTTCAGAAAGTTACCGCCAAATAGCTGAAGAGAACGAAACAGAGCCGAATGTTCTGGGAACTCTAGAGGAGCACGCTGTTTCAGACACAGGAGACAGTGGTAGCGATCAATATCCGACTACAGGTCATCGGAGAAGTGACTCAGAAACAGTTCAAACAACTAATGTAACCCGAACAGATTCAGTACCAAAGATGCGAACTCTCTCGACAACTTCCTCGGCCGGGGGAGCACAACAGAGTAGCGGTAGGCTTGACTCAACTTCATCCCTTGTTGACTTGAATTTAGCAGAACCGAACCAAACTAGTTGCTCGGCTCCGTCATTGTTTGCAGTCCTAGGCACTTCGGACGTGACGGCGAATTGCACCATGTGCAGGTGTGCGAGGATCCAGGGGTTGGATAATTTCGAGGGACTGATGGTGTTCTTCAGGGAACATTTCTACATTGTTGATGGATATACTATGTTGAATGGGGAAGTGAAAGACATCGAATTTCTCACTTCAGGTACGTTTTCTTCTGCCAAAATTTCAAAAATGAGAATTCACTTATCAATGTTTTTGCAAAATTTTAAGTGTTAAGTTAATAATACTTACGATTTGTTTTTCCTCAGCTGATAATTCCCTCATTTTAGGAGAATTTGAGCCTATTATTCCCAAAACTGGACAAGCGGTGTCTGCAAACGACCTCAAACTGAACCGATCTGCGCGTGTCGTTCTGCAACTAAATTACGACGAAATCCGAGAAATTCATAAAAGACGCTACCTTTTACAGCCTATTGCCCTTGAACTGTTTTCGGCCGACGGAAGAAGTCTTCTGCTTGCATTCCCAGTATCGCTCGGGTACCAGAGTGACAGAAACAAAGCCTATCATAAACTGTTAACATTCTGTCCATCTTTAACCACATCAGCTGCTCAGAGCGTATCTGGACAGAAAGCGAGTACATCAGTCGAGGGATCATCAGGGCTGATTTCCTCATTAATTGGGGAGAAAAGTGTAACACAAAGATGGGAAAGAGGAGAGATTTCCAACTTCCAATATTTGATGCACCTTAATACATTAGCAGGTCGCTCGTATAACGATTTGATGCAGTATCCGGTATTCCCGTGGATTCTTAAGGACTATGATTCAGATTCTTTGGATCTGGAGAATCCGAAGTCTTTTCGAGATCTCTCGAAGCCAATGGGCGCTCAGGATCCGGAACGTTTAGATTCATTTTTGAAGCGCTTCAAAGAATGGGAATCGGACAACCACTTTGACACGCCTCCTTATCATTATGGAACGCACTATAGCTCAGCTATGATAGTTTGCTCTTTTCTCGTAAGATTAGAGCCGTTCACGTCAAATTTCCTTAGGCTCCAAGGCGGCCATTTTGACTTAGCAGATCGAATGTTCCATAGTATCAAAGATACTTGGTTATCAGCGTCCAAAAACAACATGGCCGACGTGAAAGAATTGATTCCAGAGTTTTTCTACTTACCACAGTTTCTGAGAAACGAAAACAAATTTGACCTAGGTAGAAAGCAAAGTGGAGTTGTTCTCAATGACGCAGTTTTGCCAAAATGGGCCAAAGATTCGCCAGATGAATTTATTCGTATGCATCGCGAAGCTCTAGAAAGTGATTACGTCTCCTCTCATTTGCATGAGTGGATCGATTTAATTTTTGGATACAAGCAACGTGGGCCAGCAGCCAAAGAAGCCTATAATTTATTCCACCATCTTTTCTACGAAGGAAATGTGGACATCTACAACATAAGTGATCCGCTTAAAAAGAATGCAGTAATTGGGTTCATTAATAACTTTGGCCAAATTCCAGAGCAGTTGTTTAAGAAGCCGCATCCAGTTAGAAAAGCGTTTTTGGCGTGGTCAGTTGAGCGCCCATTTAGCACTGCGTATCCTTCAGCCAAAATATTTTACCACCAGCCTGACAATCTTCAACCTAGTGTCCAGTTGGTGAAATCTCCTCATAGGGGATCTGTGGGTCAAATCAGAATCGGAGGTAGTGCCACGGATAAAGTTTTGAGTGTAGAACAGAATAGGTTGCTGGTGCCCAATCAAAATGGACGATTCGTCGCCTGGGGTTTCATCGACGGGTCAATCAGAATGGGAATGACCTCTGACCCAGACAAATTGGTCTCGATTTTTGAAGGCGTGGGGTCCAATTGTGACGTCATTACAGCGACGATGCCGAATGAGAAGTTCATGTTCACGGGTGGAAATAGTGGTGTGATTACTGCGTGGGGATTCAATGCGACTCCTGCTGATGAGAGCAAATCGTACCTTAAAGTTAACAAGGTTAGGAATTTTTGTTGGGAACAAAAAATAAATAGCTAATATATTAAAGATAAAAGCTCAAACTTTGAGGCGAAATATCCTGCTCTATAAAAAATGAATCAAACTGATCTTTTCGTTAAGATGCTTAACTTTTAAAGTTCTGACTGGCATTTATTTACACAGCGAGCTAGCGAGTGTAGTGTTATCTATACATTATTTAATTGGCGTTTCAAATGTTTAAGAAGTCCCTATTTTTATATGTTTAAGCTTTTTCAACGTACTAATTTTGCATGCTCAATGAAAGACTTTTTGCACGTTTGATATATATCGTATTTTGCGATGCGTACGAAATGTTTTCGATTTTCCAGGTTATGAATGCTAGGCCATTTGTAATACAGTAGCTATGATGCCAGCTTGGGAGTGCAGTGAAGTGTAGTCTGTATATGGGATTCTTCCATCTATGTCAGTCTATCTATACATTATTGAATTGGCACATATTTAAGAAGTCCTTATGTTGACCTGGTGAAAAGCCAATTTATTGCCAGGGTTAAAGTGTACACTGAAGTCGACGTCTCAAAATCTAAGCAGCGCGAATGATATTCTACGTTTTTCTATAATGAAGTTTTCATCCCTATGCTGGGGTTTTGCCAGGGTAGACTCAGGGATTGCAAATCTGGCGTCCAAATATTACTGATTAAATTTTTTTGGTTTTCGAGATATGGCGGTTTTTATGTTTTTTTTAAAAAAAAAAAAACAAACGAAACTTGAATTTCTTCTCAGAGCAGCTAATTTTTACCTTCAAATATAACATATCAAACGATTTTCGTTTCCGAGATATGGCGTTTTTTACGTTTTTTTTTAAATTTGTTTTTCAGAAACTTCTAAGTTTCAAAAAAACTAATAGAACTTGAGATTCTCTACCGTATAGTGGGAAGTGGTCAAGGTCAATTGTAGGTTTGCAAATCTGTCTTCTAAAATGACTGATCTTACCGCGATTTTTATGATTTTTTCAGTTTTTTCAAAAAGTTAGGTTAAAAAGCTAACAGAACATGAAAATTTCAATCTTATGTTGGGGTGCTGTCAGGGTACCATTGCCGGTTGCAAATCTGACCTTCGAGTGCAATTTTTATGATTTTTTCAATTTTTTTTCAAAAAGTTAGGTTAAAAAACTAACAGAACTTGAAATTGTCAACCTTATGTTGGGGTGCTGTCAGGGTACCATTGCTGGTTGCAAATCTGACCTTCGAGTGTGATTGTTCAAAAAAAAAATTCGAGATAAGGCGTTTTAATAATTTTTTTCAATTTATTTCAAAAATTTTGGTTAAGAAAAAACAAAAACCAAACAAACTCTCGAAATTCTCAACCGTATAGTGATGTACTGTCTATGGTGGTGTGCTGGTGATGTGCTGTCAAACTTGAAGTTCTCAAACCTATGATGGTGTACACACACGGGTTGGAAATCTGGCCTTAAAATGTTACTGTTCAAATTTTTTTGGTAACCGATATATGGCGTTTAGTTATGGTTTTTTTCGTTTTTCAAAAAATATAGATATAAAAGAAACTCACAAAACTGGAAATTGTCAACTCTGTGGTCAGATGTTGTCAGGGTACACTGTGGTGTCCCAGATTTGGCCTCCAGATATGACTGATTTTTCAAATTGCCAGACATGGCGTTTTCAGGTTCGCAAGTTTATGGTGAGGGTGCTTTCAAGGTACCTAGGGGGCTGCAAATCCGGTCCTCAAAATTGATTGCTCAAATGCTTTCGGCTTTGATAAAAAACTAACAAAACTTGAAATTTAACTTTTTTATGGGTTGCAGTCAGGTTACTCCTAGGGATTGCAATTTTGCTTCTATTTGAGCTTCTCAGTTTTAGGTCGGACAATTTCAATTAATTTTTCAGCTAATTTACTTATCTCATTCATGTTAGTTTTTGAACTTTTTAAAAAATATATATGAAAAGTGGAATTGCATGATGTTGGCCTTTTTAACGCCCTATTTTTGAGTTCAAAATTCAATTATTCGATGAAACTCTGTAGTTTTGGAGTTATTATTTTCTTGGTGAAAATAACTTTACCGTTGATTTCATAAACTGTTAAAAAATGAAATAGAAAACCTGATGGACTTAATATCGTGGTTTTGGTATATATATTAGAAAATTGTTTTCACCTCCAACAATCTATTTGAAGAACCATTGGTGCGAGGCAGGCGCTAGTATTACTAATCCACTTTTTCAAACCCAATTCGCAAATGAAAGTGCTTGTTAGAAACATTTGTTCTATCTATTATATATTTAAATGCGGGCTTCACTATCTCGCCATGTTTAAGCTTTTTCAACGTATTATTTTTGCATGTTTAAGCTATATCGTATATTGCAATGGTTAAGAATTTTTTCGATTTTCCGATTTGATTTTAATGGTTATTTTACCGAGTTTAAGTTAAGCAGCCCAATTAGGGGTTGCGAATTTGGCCTCCAATTTTGAATGCCCGAATCATTTTAGTTAACGAGATAAGACGATTTTTGAGATTTTTTCAAAAATTTTCAGAAATTTCAAATAACAAAATAATTTACAAAACTTGAAGTTCCCAACCCTGTAGTTGGGTGCTCTCGGAGTACTCTAAGGAGTTACAAATCTTGCCTCCAAATATGACTGTTCAAATCCTTGTAGTTCTCGAGATATGACGTTTTTTGTGATTTTTTCAAAAAATTTTCAGAAAACTTATATTAAATTTTTTTCCGCAAAATCTGAAATTCCCAACGCTGTAGTTGGGTCCTGTCAGAGTAATCTCAAAGATTGCGAATCTTGCCTCCAAATATGACTGCTCAAGTGTAGTTTTCGAGATATGACGTTTTTTGTGATTTTTTCAAAATTTTTCTGAAAACTTAAATTATTATTAGTTTTTAAAAATCTGAAATTCCCAACCCTTTAGTTAGGTCCTGTCAGAGTACTCTCAAGGATTGCAAATCTTGCCTCCAAGTATGACTGCTCAATTCTATGTAGTTTTCGAGATATGACGTTTTTTGCGATTTTTTCAAAATTTTTCAGAAAACTTGAATTATTTCTATTTTTTAAAAATCTGAAATTCCCAACCCTGTAGTTAGGTCCTTTCAAAGTACTCTCAAGGATTGCGAATCTTGCCTCCAAATATCACTGCTCAATTCTTTGTAGTTTTCGAGATATGACGTTTTTTGCGATTTTTTCAAAATTTTTCAGAAAACTTGAATTATTTCTATTCTCTAAAAATCTGAAATTCCCAACCCTGTAGTTAGGTCCTGTCAAAGTGCTCTCAAGGATTGCGAATCTTGCCTCCAAATATCACTGCTCAATTCTTTGTAGTTTTCGAGATGTGACGTTTTTTGTGATTTTTTCAAAATTTTTAGAAAGTTTAAATTAATTATTTTTCAAAATTTGAAATTCCCAACTCTATAGTTCGGTGTTGTCAGGGTACTCTAAAGAGTTGCAAATCTTGCCACATGTGACTGCTAAACGCGACTGCTCAAATGCTTTTAGTTTCCGAGATGTGACGTTTTTCGATAGAGAAGAAACTTATCTACAAAGAAATTCAAAAAATTTGAAACTACTAACTTGATGAAGATACAACCTTATTGTCAGCGTACACCCAGGCGTCTCAAATCTTGTCTCTTAATATGAATGCTCAAATCTTTTTAGTTTCCGAGAAAAGACGTTTTTTTTTCGGGAATCTTAGGTTTAAAAAATTCACTAAATTTTGGGTTCCTAACCCTATAGTAGGGTGCTCTCAGGGAGTCTCAGTGGTTGCAAATCTGGCTTCCAAATTTCTCCAGAGGCCCATTAAGTTTTCGAGATGACGCTTTTAAAATGGGAATTAAAAAAAATTCAAAAGTTCGAAATTACCAAACCTGGGTGCAGTCAGAGTACACTAAAAGTTTGCAGATGTTGTTTCCAATATATGCGGTTTTTTTCATGAGTTGTCGAAAAATTTCGAAGCACCGAAGGTGCATTAATTGCTAGTCTATTTTATATTTGTGTCTAATGTTTGCCTTTTTCAAGCAACCAGGCACAAATGCAAGGACGCGAGACTCGTATTATTCAGGTCGTCAGTACGATTTCCTTCATATCAAAACTTGCGACCAGTTCTAGACTGTTTTCCGTTGAAAATTTACAGAATTCGCATGTGAGAGGCTAGGTGCTAGGTATATTAAATTTAATTGCAATGAGTTTTTCGCAGAGGTAACGCCCATTTGGTTCAGAGGAAACGCCCATGCTTGGGACGACAAAAGTGTCAGGGTTTGAGATCGGGCGGGGTGTTTTTTGCAAACAAGAAAATTTCTGCTTTCTAAGAATTTGGTTTTACGACTATCGTATGTCTGCTTGTTTTTGTCTTCGTATCACGCAGGACGCAATTTTTTTTGAAAAGTTGAGCTGTTTTAAAATGCAATCCTAGATTTTTTTAGATTTTGTTTTCTTTTTTTTTTGCTTTAAACGTGTTTCTTTTGATTAAATGGTTCCGGCTTTTAGACGCCTAGGCGCCGCATATTTTGTCTTTTGAAGGGCAAAAATATATATATATATATATATTTTTTGTGTATAAGAATATTTTTTGTTGTGTGCTTCGGGGGACCAAACTTTAGTTTTCAAGTTTTTGGTAGCTCAATTTTAATGGCTAATTGGGCGTCTACACAAGTATTGTCAGCTAAGTTACAGCTAAGATACTTTTAGTCTCAGTGCCATATTTACGCTGGCATTAGATTTCCTATATGGTTTCTTTCAAATTGAACTTTTTTGAGACAAACGTATGGCGTTTTTGGGGGATGTTTTTTATTCACTTTGTTTCGGCAGCACGCCATGCTATGTTTGCGTTGTAGCGCAAGTTTTGGGAAGCTTGGTTTTGCCTCTTAGTAAAAATATCAAACAAAGAAGTACTTAAATTGCTGTCAAATACAGTTATGCGATTGAATATTAGACTTGGTCATACGTGATGAAAAAATAGTTTGGTTTTCAGCCGAGTTTTCGCCGCTGATGATTTTAATGTGCTTTCTCCTCTGTGCTTTAGCAACTGTATGGTCACCATGCGCCCATCACCTGTCTGAGTAGTTCGTCCAACTACCACATAGTGCTGAGTGGGAGTAAGGACTGCACGGGGATAGTGTGGGATGTGAACACTCTGCAACTAGTGAGACAACTGCCTAACCACTTCCACCCAATCACCTGCTGCCACATCAACAACCTATCTGTGAGTTCCGCAGACGCTCCATCAGGGCCAATAAATTACTCCTTGTTAAAATTACAGGAGCCGAAAAATCTGAATTATTTGAGCCAAAATGAAACAAACAGCCAAAATTTGAGCCAAAATGAAACAAAATGAGTACGCATTTCATAAAGTGCAAAGATTAAGCTACTTAAAATATTCCTAGTGCTTGTTACAATAAGTGTGAATGAAGAGTATCTGAGATTTTAAAAAGTTTTTTTTGGTAAGGTTTGGCCAATTATGTAAAGTTACGTTGTTGACTTTTGCCAGGGTGAACTGATCACGACTGCTGGGTGGTACCTCTACGTGTGGACCATCAACTGCGAACCCATTGCATTCATCAACACAGCTGTCACCAGCAGCCAACAGACCTACATGTCCCACCTCACACTCCCCCAACCCACGACGCCATCTGTGCGCAACTCCACATTCGCCAGTGGGACGATCAACAATTCAACCGGGATGACAGGCAGTGTAAATATGACTGCAGCAGCCGCTAGTTTCGGAGGAGGAGCATCTACTGGAGGCATAACCTGTCTCGCGGCTAGCGAGCTGAATGAATGGAATAGTGACAATGTCATTCTAACGGGGTCAGCGGACGGAGTTGTGAGGGTAAGTTGCCCAATAGCTATTACTAAATCATACCGTTCGATTTATTGAAGAACATTCATTTCTCAGGTAAAAAAGATAAACATTGTGTTCACTATCTCGGAAAGACGTAGAATAGGTTTTGGATCCGGTTGTCATATTTAAACATTTTTTTAAGTTCAATTCAAAATGACTTGTTGACAAAGTTTTCATGTATATATATTTAAACAGCAAAGCCTAACTGGTACATTATGTGCTATTTCTAAAAAACTGGTTCATTTGCTAGAGGGATTTGTTTTTTTTAGATGTGGAGCATTGAGATGCGTCAAGTACCGTGCAATAGTCCATACGACACGGTCAGTGCAGAGCACATAAGACAGACTAATGAATCAAACGGAGAAATAGTTGCCAGTACTGATGCCATTGATGGCCAGAGTGCCAGGGACAACGGGAACCAAAGAAGTGCAATGGGAGTTCAAAAAAGATATTCTATTGACAGTCTAGAAGAGGTAAAAACGTTCATGAATTTGATTGGGATTTCTAGGATCATTTAATGTGATAACAATTTGACAACAAAGCTTTGGCAAGCAATTGGGGAGTAAATAGAGCCTCTGACTCTCGATGCGAAGGTTGGTAGTACGAGTTGAACCCTGATTTCTGGTCATTACTTGCTAGTAACGCCACAGTTCTCAATTCCAGATGTTAAAGGTTTCATTTTACTGTTTCGTTTTTTTCAGGACGCCTTCGATGCTGACGATACAAGCCAGTCGGCGATGTTCACTCCTTGTGATCCTGACATTAGCCCGTCTTCGGTGCCAAATAATGGCTTGGAACTAGACAACACCCTCTCAATGACATTAACTTCTGGAACCAATGTTGTTGACTCCTCCGGATACGCAGTTTCAGATCTAGAATCGCACTATTCGAGTACTAGAATACCGTTTTCGTCTACATCGACCCAGAGAAATTCTTCAGGAAGTACATACCAACAGGAACCGGGCTCAGAACCTCTGACCCCAGGAACTCCAGATCCGTTTCAGGAATCAAGTCATGCGAATACAGCCAATGCTGATCCGAATTGTGAGAGCACAGGCCCGAGTTTTCCCACAGATGCGTCGATGCAGTCATCTAGGATGAATTCTGAGACGTTCCACATTGTGAGCAGAAGTGATATAGGCGAGGTGAGAAAATGGAAGGGATAAATGAAGCGTACTCATTCCCAGTTTCTTGCAATAGGTACATAAAAAAACTGGGAACCGTTTAAACTGAATTATTTTGAACAAGGGTGGAACTAGAGTTTGTTCGAGGGTTTTTTGTTTGATAAAATTGATTTTCCGAGCTTTTTCAAAACAATATGAAAATAATAATAATGTAGTTCCAGAGGATCTATCAGTAGGCCTTAACAGTCCTGTCGAGAATAGTCCATTTGTATTATCGCACATATTCCAGTGTTATTTTGTTGAGCGAAGCTCTATTTTGCAGCTCAAGGCCGTTTTTTTTGCGTCTAGAACTTTCACGTGGTACCACTATTGCAGCCAAAGTTGGTCAGGTTGTGGTTAACCTGAAGCTAGAAGTCAAGTGAGAGCTCGTCCTCACACACTATCATTGCCATGGCATGGGATCGAATACACGATCTGATGATTTCAAAGTGAACGCCTTACCACTATGCTAAGTGCCTCTCTATTTCGCCGAAATGTTCTGCAGTGTAAGCAAATTTTGAAAAAAAAAACAGTCCAAAAATACCTTTGAACCATTTTTACCTTTGAACCTTTGAAGGTTTTACCTTTGAACCATTTTGGCGCCCTACCATCTCAAAACTAACATATATTGGTGCAACTGAGCTTTTAGAAAAAAATTAGTAAGGAATTCGAATCAAAACCGCTTTTAGTCGGATTCCTGAGGTCCATTCCCTTTAATCTGCCCCTGATTTTATACAGCGTGTTATTTATCGAACAATGCGTACATACGTTAATTAACAAGCGGTAAAGTTTGTGGAACAGACCAACGAAATGGACGTTTTTGAGAATGTTTGCTCTTAAAACATCCCGTTATTCAGAATTTAGGTTTTTTGGAGTCAATGAACGTAGTGAAGACTATTACATTGGTCGTGATGATTTTTTGTTTTTGTTTCTAGGAAAACTAAAATTGTTCCCGTTTAAACTTGATTTTTCGCGGTTGAACTTTTGATTTCTTTTGAAGTTCAGTTCTTTTCCTTTCCTAAAATGAAGGCAAATTCCACTATCAAACAGCAATCGTTATTCAAGCTCTTTTCTGAATTAGCTTTAAGTTATAGCCTACACCAAAGACACAATGGTAGCAGTTTGCCGTGCAAGTAGCCCAGAATGTTCCGACCGGAATCATAAAATAAAAGCTAAGTAGTTCAAAAAATTTGGTAACGTCACAAAAGATGCACTTGTTGCTGGAACAGTTTATATATTGTAGTAGCTTATTTTTGAGTGTTCAATCACTAATCGTCTCACTTGTAATTTTCGATCCGTTAGGTCAAAACACGGAAAACCTTAGTCATAGTTCCTTCCCTTAATTTTGTGAAGCGGTCGGAATACAAAACTCGATTTTCTTTTTGCTGAAATAAGCGTAATCAGAACAAATTGTTTTAACATCTCGCACAGCAATAGGATCTTTTATTTATATTTAACCATGCCACTAGCATGGTTTTTGTAATTTGGTACTAAATTTCTTGTCTCGTAAACAATTCTCTAATAAAATTCGCACGTGAGATTTCACGTGCTATAGGATAAATTCAAAGTTATTGACATTTCCTGCACGTCTAGTCAAGAAGTTACGCCTGTGCTTGAGCTTACAAAAGATCTGGGTTCGATTCCGGCAGGGAGTAGTTTTTAAAATTCAATTTTCGGAGTATTGTTTATCTGCTCGTTTTTATCGAGTTACTTTCCAAAGTTTGTACTTTATTCTGATTTGAACAATTTTTACTATACCTGAAATTCAATTTAATTTTTTTGCAACTTGTAATTCCATCTTGTGATTAAAGATAGTTTTGGTATATGAATCGAAATATCCATGAACGTAGTGAAGAAGTTTATATAGACCGATTTGATACGCTTTGATGATGGCAAGCATTTACACTCGCGAGCAGCGTAGTGGTTAAGTACGAACCTTCTTTTTTTGTAACCTAAGCCGCAAATAAAAGTGTTCACTTATTTGGTGGCATTTTTTGCTATAATCACGATCTGTAGCATTGGAAAAATTATAGCATCTGTTCTCGGCTTTATTTGTGGCTAGTGGTTGTAATTCATTAAGCTTCCGTGGCTCAGTGGTTAGTGCGTGATACTGATAATCTCTAGGTCGCGATCGAAAGGAGATCGAATCCGAGACGTAGCCGAGTTTTTACTAATTCGCGACTTATTTCTACTTTTTATTATTGCTTTTTATAGAGCTGCTTTATGTCGTGTTCTTGCTAGTATTTGCGAAGCGAAGCTTCGCATTTGTGTTAAATATTTGAAGCAGACTTGACGAAAGTTTTCAAGACCAGCAGACACTCATAATTTCCATGTCCGAGGCTGGATTCAAGCTATTATGAATTTTTTTGAAGCTATTTCAATTTTTTCCGTACTCGTTCTGCCATTTCGCCTCTCAGTAAAGTTTGCTAATTTCAACACTTCATTGCACTTTAAAGAGCTGCTTCATGTCGTGTTCTAGCTAGTGTTTGCGAAGCACTTAATTATTTGAATATTTGAAGCAGACTTGACGAAGATTTTCAGGACCAGCAGACACATAATTTCCATGTCCGAGGCTCGATTCTAGCAAATATGATTAATTTTTTGAAGCTATTTTATTCTTTTCCGTATTCTTTTTGTCGTTTTGCCTTTCAGTAAAATTTGTTAATTTCAACACTAGCTATTGTGTTCTGAAAACATGCTTTCCTCAAATTGAACTCCTCTCGAGATCAAAGTTTTTCTTTGATGTTTTTTTTTGTTTTCAATTTTTTCAGCTCAGTGGCTTTCGTCTAGCATCCGTGCTGTTTCTGTGGGGACTATTCTCATGCGCGAAGGACCGAAAGGGCGAAAAACTGGTGTGCGAAAGACCGAAAACTAAAATAGCTGAAAGTCAATTTTTAAAAAGAATCAATTGCCATTCAATTAAAATGAAGCAATATTTGCTTCTTTCATAACGAAACCCTTAAAATCTAAAATTTGTTTCAATTCGGCGGGGGTCAGTGACAATTTGAAAATTTTGCATATTTCTGCCGTTTTTATATTCGGCCAATATCAATATTAAGTCCCTGGAAATGTTTACTTTTTTTCCAAATTTTAGGTTACTGAAATCTGATTGGCTGATTTTTATTTTCGCGCATTCGGTCCTTTGCGTATGAGGGATTCCACCGTTTCTGTTGTATCGCAAGTGGTACGAAGCTATTCGCCTATATTTAAGAAATGATTCTTTCATTCAAGTTTAAATAATTTTTCAGCTCTTTGTTTGGGTGAGTAAAGAACACCTATTTCGATAACCTTGCCATTCCATTGATAGACCTCTAATGTAGTCTTTTCATAGAATTTAAGATTAACTTACACAACTGCGACTGCTATTTCTCTGTTTCTGAATCTTTTCTTATATATGCAGTTACGATAACTAAAAATGTGTTTTTTTTTCTTAAAAGTTTTAATTGAATCGTGAAGCATAATGACGTTCATTGTAATTTTAGACTCGAAGTGAGACTGGCGTTGGTAACAGAACTAGAAGTGATGCGTTCAGCATGGAGACTGAAATTCTCACGCGATCGGAAGATGGTGGGATTGGGGGAGGGGGACTGAAGCAGGGCTACAAGTGGCAGTACCAGATAAAGTTCAGAACTAAGCTCACTGCACACACAGCCTTCGAGAGACAAGATAACCAGTACCCAGCCTCAGTCACAGCAATCGCCATTCATCCGTGAGAAAACCGGATAAAGTTTTTTTTTCGTAAAACAGCTAGTAACAAGAGTGAGGTTGGAAAAGAAGTTTTTTGGCGGGATCAACTAGCTGTAATAAACCGTCAATTTTTTAAGAGTAACGAACGTATTGAAGGTCTTTTTGATTTTTCGTTCCTTTTTTCCAGGAAAAGTCTCACTGTTCACTCTCAAATTCGATTTTTCGCTGTTTGACTTTTGTTTTTGCAATTTTCCATATAATATCATGGAAGAAAATATATAGCGAACCATATAATTGTCCAGCATAAGAAAAAAGTTATTAGGAGTCGATGAACGTAGTTCAGATTCTTATATAGATCGCGAAAAATTTAGTTTTTTTTTTCAGGAAAAAGTTGGTTCATGCTCAAACTCGGTTTTTCGCGGTGTGAATTCTGATTTTTTTGAAGCTCACTTTATTTCCTTTTCCCCGTAGATAACTTTTCTAACAAATTTGCAAGAAATTGAGCTTGCTTTTTTATAGAACCCTATATTGATTAGCCTCCTTCCCATTTGGTCTGGAGGTAAAGCAGATGCCTTGGATTTCTTTGGTCTGGGATTTGAGTCCCGACCGGACCTTGTTTTTTTTGCAGTATATATGAATTTGAAATTTTTTCCGGGAAAAAAATTCATTGTCGGTGGTCCATTGCTATCTGCTTGTCTGGTCGGCTTAGTTTGCACATCACGGATTTTTCTTGTATTGTTAGCACTCTTCCCTGTTGCATATTTTTCTTTTTTTTTACTTGAAAGTTTCATTCGGATTACTTTTCGGGCTTTATGCTGTATCGGATTCGTCACCTTTTTTGTGTCGAAGGGCAAAAATTGGTTGTTTATAATTAATTCAGTTCGGTTGTGGTGCAAAAGTTCAAAGTCTTAATTGGTCAAAGTTTTTTATGACGAAAGGTTACAATTTCTTATAGCTTTTTTCTGTTTTCGGCTCAACGGTCGTCTACCCACTTATTGTCCGCCGCTTGATAGACAGTGAAAGTGTATTTAATGCTGGTATCTGTGTTACCGACTGTTTTTCTGTAATTGAATTTTCCTTTATTCGGTTTGTCTCTGTTTGCTTGCTTGCAATGCTCTGCTTGGGTTGTATCGCATGTGATGCGAAGCTCCACTTCATGTATGTGTCAGATCTTTCCGGTAATTGTTGAAATCACCTGTGAGAGAATCATGATATTTGTGATAATAATGATGTTTACCCTATTGTGTGTAGTGACCATTCCAAACTGTATGTGGGAGATAGCAGAGGCAGAGTGCTGCAGTGGCTGGTGTGTGACAGTGCACCTGGGAAGGCGCCAGTCGACAACTGGATGAGGGATGAAGGTAGTAGTCAATGCATGCACTGCTCAGTCCCCTTCTCATTCACGGAGAGACGGCACCATTGTAGAAACTGTGGGAAACTATTCTGTGCCAAGTAAGATATTTGATATATACTTTTCTTAAATTGCAAGTATCATTTCAAGATTAGAACTTTTAATCAGCCAAAAAACGAACATTTTTTGTTTGGAAATTTTAAAATTCTTTGTATTATTGAAAAAAAGGTGAAGAAAGTGTAAGATGACATCTGATTGTTCTCATCTCAGTTTAAAAGAAGGCTCGTGGATAAAATGGAGAAAAAAATGTGCGCTGAAATCTCAACAAAGCTCAAATTCATTTTTTAGCGTTAAGGAACGAAGTGAGTTTCACGTTTAGATAATCTGTGATTTTTTTTTTGAGCAAAAGACAAATTTATGACTTCTTAAGTTTGTCCAAAATGGTTTGCTCTTCTTTTTGGTTTTGGCGGCTTTGACTTGGCATGGCGAAATTGTGATTGGCTCAATTAATGCAAAAATCTTCTTTGGTTTACATTTTTTTTTACGAGAGAAGATTTACCTGAAAAGTATTGTGCATGACGCGGTGGCGTGCGCAGAAATTTTCTGGGGGATGGGGGCATTTTTTCGAAAAAATTCGAAAAGTTTGCGGACCTTTTTTTTTAGGTCGACCAATTTATTTTTCCGAGCTCTCCAAAAATACTATAAGGACCCTATTTCGTCAGTTTTTGGGCACTTTTTGGAAAACAACATAACAAAAATGAAAGCTCGACTTCAGAAATTTATAACTCAATATATCTGGCAATTTTTTGAAATGCATTATTTATGCATAATGTAGCTTTATGCTTTGCGATTTGTTACATGCAAACTTAGTGTGGATGCCTTCAGTTTGTTATATTCTAATTTATTACATGCAAAATTGAGTCTATTTGTATTTGGTGCCACTTTTGCTGAATGGCATTGGCAAGTTATTAGCATATTTAGCTGCTTTATAATGTTTATCGGTTATTAGGCTTGATTGGATAGTGAGTGAGACTTAAAATTTTTTGATTTGGTAGGTCGCAGAATCGAATCCTGCACGTAGCCGAGGTTTTGCTTATTCGAGGCTTACTTCTACTTTTTCTTATTTAACTTGCTAGAGCTGCTTTTTAGTCGTGTTCTCGCAAGTGTTTGCGAAGCGCAGCTTCGCATCTGTGTATTTTTCTGCTTATGTTTTTGTCGGCTTCGTTGCCACATCTTAGATTTTTGTTGCCTTATGCAGTTTTCTTTGTAGTTACTTGTTTTCAATTGCTCGTGCAATTTGTAATTCTTCTAGCCTTGACTTGGTATATTTTCTTTTTTTGTTTTTTTTTCGTTGAAAATTTTTCGGCCTGAATGATTTCGGCTGATATTTTATCGGCCCACTCACTTAATTTTGGGTCCATCGAGGGAACCATAAAATTTGTATGCTTTCCTACGGATCGCACAAAACGTTGAAAATTTCACAATAGAATTTATTGTTCAGAGTTATTCATGGCGGTTTTATTCTCGCTCGATAATTGCTCTTGAATTTTCAAAAAGTGCAGTTGAAAGTGTTTCCAGACGTGTTTTTTTGCTAAAAGAACATCATTCCAGACAACGTTTTGAAATTTTTAAGTTGTGTTCAATTCGATTTTTTTCCGTTTTCTTTGGACTTTTTTTCTGTCTGCTACCTTGCAATGCTATTTTTGTGGTAGTGTCGCATGTGATGCGAAGCTCTTTGTTTCATGAAAAAGTTTGTCAATCTTTCAAAATTGTTGAAACTGTAAGAGCTTCTGTGGTACATTTTTTCTCCGAATATTGAAAAACCCGATCATTTTGTTTTTGGTTTTACTTGAGTTCTTTGGTATTTTAATCTGTTTGTTGGCTATTTTTTTTGAATCAGCTGTAACGTGATTAATTTTTTGATGGTCAATGAAATTAGTTGATTGTTTTTTTTTTGTTTTTTTTAGGAAAGATTTATTGACACCAATTTTGATTTTTTGCAGATTGACTTTTGATTTCTTTCTAAGTTCAAATCAAACAATTGCTAACAAGAAGAAAATTACGCTCTTCAATTACGAAAGTTGAAATGGTGCAAAAAACGTGAACGACTTCCAGTTTTAAAAAATATGTCTAAATAGATTTCCCAGCCAAATAAAAAATTACTTATTTATCCAGTGTTTCTGAAAATAGGTTGATTTATTGATCAGTTGTTCTTGAATTTCAAAGAGAGTATAGATTTTTTGAATTTGTAGTAATTTTTTTCGGTTTCACTGCATACATTGATACGTTTACAGCTGTCTGTCGGCTCCGTCTTCTTAACACTTAGAAATTTCATATTCATGCCCAAGGCTTAAAATGAAAGGAAAAAACTTGTATTTTTTTAGGTAAATATTATAATCAGTTCATTAACATTTGCAACTGTTTTAAATAAACTAAGTTATGTTGTGTGTTACTTAAAACGGAGATAAATCATGCCATTTCTGAGTAGGCCTTTAGACCCTCTAATGTATGATTTTATATTTCACCTTTTTTTGTTCGTTCTATTTTTGCAAATATGTAGAATTTATGCACTAGATTTCATAATAATTTGAAACCCAACTAACTACATCATTCATGTTTCTAATATTTTTTGGGCAGCATTTAGTATCCCTTATGGGATCATTAGCTGTCCCCTCTTTGATACTGATGTATTTATGCGCAATATGATATGAATTTTCTAGTAACATTGAGAAATTAATTCTTTCTTTTTTAAGCGTGATATTACAAAATTTATCGCAAACGGAGCGTATTTTACATTGCGAGGCTACTGTTGTCAACATAAATTGAACATCTTTGTCCGTATACAGTTTCCACTTCGAAATTTATTATAGGTTAGCTATACCGGCTCCGTTTAAGTACATTCCATTCTGCCTGTTTTTATGACAGCATATGTGCGTAGCTAGGCTCTGAAATGTGATGGTTTTTTTCCAGTATTTAGAAATTAGTGTCAGCTAGTAATTGGCTCCTGATGATGCCAGTTATTTTTGTTTGATAATAAGGCTTCGTCAAATCAGCGATAGAAGCTTTTTGCGATAGTTTCGTATTTTATCTGTCTATGTTTGCAAAGTGAAGCCATTGTCTTCAAAATTGAGTTTTGGGCCGCAATACCTAGATTAAAATCAAATGATTTTTCTGCAGATTTAATACTAGTAAGGAATCTGTTACAGATAACACACTTAGGCACTAAAACAGATAATACATGGGTTTTATACATCTAAAGAAAAATGACGATGAGGTGTATAAAAGGGGTTAATTTGTTCAAAAACAAATTTCGCAGCTGTATAAAAGTCCCCAGAACATGTCTAAACTAGATTGTAATTGATAAATACCTTTTTTTTGAAAACAATCAAATCCAATATGTTTTCTGAATGGTTTATATTTGAGAATACGGATTTCGCTTGTGTAAAAAAAGTGCAGAATCTGTTTGAATTGATGTAGTAAATTTTAGAGGAGAAAATAGTTGATAGTTTTGAGAAAAAAAACGGTTTCATACTACGGCAAAATACTATTATTTTTTGTACTGCTCGGTCGATGGAGTCAGATTTTGGAATCAAAATTAAGTTACGTAACAATGCAAGTGTTGCATAAAAACCAATTTTTGGGCCTATTTAGGATATATTTGCGTGAAATCTCGAACCGGAGTGACCTTCATAGAAGAAAAACTCCTTGTTACGAATTTTCTAACGTTTCTTCACATTTTACGGAACATGAGAGCCCTTCACGCCCAATTTCACCAGAAACAGACGTTATTGTTCTATCTGAGCAAAGTTTCCCTCAAAGAAGTTTCAGAATGCATTCATAAATTACTCAACAAAGTTTTATCAGGGCTTGATAGCATTCGCAATGTCCTAATTAAGGTTTCAAGCATGCGAATAGCACCAGTTCTCACTGAGTTTTATTCGAGTTAATTCCTGTTTGATTTATTAAACAGGTGTTATGAAAACGTTTTTTTTTTTCCAGATGAGATCTGTTTTTTTTTTTTTTTTTTTGAGACGCTTTTTCGAAAAATTCGCTTTCCCAAAAAACTACCCGTCAGATTCTCATAAAAGTGGTACCAATGGATTCAGTAGCGTTTCACCTACGTGCCTGCATGAAATGTAGGGCAGTTTTTACCCTACCCCACCCCCTACGGTCTTAGAAAAGCTTCACAACTCGGTACTTTTTTCACTTTTTGCCCATTTTTTCGGAAATTTTCGATTTCCTCAAAAACTACCCGTCCAGATTTGGGATTAAGGGTTTAATCGATAGACCAGGTTGTAGGAAACTCCCCTGCCCAAGCGGCTGGTCCTTAATTTGTCTCGGGGAAGAGCTGTACACTTAGGAAAAGTTTTTTTAAAAGTTTTTTGGCATTGGAACAAAGATTCAATATACTTATTGTGTGTATTTTTTAGACAATGGAATCCGCTATGCTTACGTTTTCTCACTTTTTTTGCGTATGAAGGGCGCTATCGACTTGAGAAACCTGAAATTTTAAAACAATTTTAAAATAATCAATATTAAAATAATCAAACAGGTCTCTCCAGCTTTCAGCTGGGCCCCTAGTTTAGATATTAGTTACTACCGTCTGATATCCATTTTAATTTCCCTGAGTAAGGCTTATGAATAGTTAATATACAATAGGGTGTTTAACTACTTAGAAAATAGTTTACGAGTGACTATACGTCAGGTGTTTGGATTTCGTTCAAGAATGTTTTGTTGTAAAGAATTGATGCTATCAGCCGAAGTAACTGAATGTTTGAGATGATAATAAAAAAATAAGGAAAATAGTTTCTTTCCTGACCCGAAAAAGCGTTTGATTGCATAGGTTATGAAGTTCTGCTGAAAAAACTAGTCCCCTCAGCTGGTTTGAGCGCTATCTTAGTACACATAGAAAAATGTTTGAAATACTAAATATTACTCACTCCTGAAGTTATTGTTCCGACTTTCGAAGCAGGTCACGGAATATTTGTGCTCGGGATGGTTTTTTTTCAGACAAATTTCGACTCTTTCACTAGCCATTTTTGACGAATTTTTTTTGTATCGTTTGAAAGGTATTTTTGTCCTGAGCTCAAATTTTAAAAGATTGGCATTTAGGCCAATTTGAGACAATTAACACGCGATTTATTTCGCGTTATTAGCGATCAAGCGGAGATTTAACGAGCAAGCGGCGAGAATGGGTTGAAGCAAGCTATTTGCCTTAATTACTGCGATCACTTTGTACCTCATATGGTTTGATTTGTTTTAAAAATCATCTCAAATTTAAAAAAAAATCTTTTTTTTTTGAAAAATTCCTCAATTGTTATAAAGCGAACACTGTTTAATAGAACTTATAATGCAGTCGGAACATTCAGGGGTTTGCTCTGATACGTGCAGTCTTTTTTGACTTATGATGCACCACAAGGTTCGACATTAGGTCCGCTGCTATTCCTGATATTAATTCAGTTTATCAACTATTTGCCCTCTGCATGCAGCAGCACGCAAATTGTTCTAATTGCATTAGATACAATTGAATAAATTATCAGCTCCATTATCTGCAGCTTATCTAAGGTTAATACTGGTCCTAGATATCTGGTTATCTGCAAAAGAAATTATTTTGAAGCTAGATAAAACAGTCAGATCAATAAAGTTTGAGCGTGTCTAACGAAAGAATTTTTTTCACGTTTCAGCTATATCGTATATTGCAATGGTTAAGATTTTTTTTAATTTTCCAGTTTAAATTCAGTGTTTATTTCATCAAGTTTGAAATTAGCAACCCAATAGTAGGATATTGTCAGGGTTTTTGCAAGTTTTGCGATTCTGGCCTCCATATATGAATAACCAAATCCTTTTAGTTTACGAGATAGGCAACTTTCCAGATTTTTCAAAAATTTCTAGAAAATTTAATTAAGAAAAATGTCTGTTTTTTAAATTCTGACCCTGTAGTTGGGTGCTGTCAGGGTACTCTCAGGGTTTGCGAATCTTGCCTTCAATTCTCATTTCTCAAATCTTTGTAGTTTTCGAGATATGACGTTTTATATGATTTTTTCAAAAATTTTTCAAAAACGTAGATTTTAAAAATTTCCAAAACATTGAAGGTTTCAATCCTATTGTTGGATATTGTGAGGGTACTCTCAAGAGTTGCGAATCTTGCCTCTGATTATGGCTGCTCAAATCCTTGTAGTTTTCGAGATATGACGTTTTTTTATGGTTTTCTCCGAATTTTTCAAAAAAACTTAAATGTAAAAAATTCCAAAAGTTTGTAGATCTCAATCCTGTTATTGGAATCTGTGAGGGTACTATCAGGGGGCTGCAAATCTTGCCTCTGAATATGGTTGCACAAATTTTTCGTAGTTTTTGAGATATGACGTTTTTTTAAGTTTTTTTTTTCAAAAATTTTCAGAAAAATTAGGTATAAAAAAATTTCGCAAAACTTGAAATTATAATTTCTGCAGTGAGGCTCTGTCAGGGTACTCTCAGGATTCGTGAGTGTTCCCTCCCAATTTGACTGCTCAAATCTTTGTAGTTTTCCAGATATGATGTTTTTTGTGATTTTTTCAAAAAAAAATTTTCATGAAAATTAATTTTTTTTGTAAGTTTGAATTTCCTAACCTGTAGTTGGGGGCTGTCAGAGTAATCTCAGGGGTTGCAAATTCGGCCTCCAATTAAGAATGCCCAAATCATTTTCTTTAAAGATACGACGATTTTTGTGATTTTTAATTGGAAATTTTCAGAAAACTCAAATTACACAATAATTCGTTCAAGTGAAATTCCCAACCCTGTAGTTGTGTACTTTCAAAGATTGCGAATATTGCCATTAAAAAAGGCCACTCAAATTTTGGTAGTTTTCGAGATCTGAATACTTCTTTCAGAAAACTTACGGTGACGTTTCTCAAAATTTGAATTTCCCAATTTTTGCAAAGTTTTTTATTCACGTTTTTTATACAAATTTTGAAGAACCATAAAACTTTGTGAAGTTTTATATAAGTTCTTCGAAAAACTTAAAATTAACTAAGAAACGTCACATCTGGGAAACTGAACGCAATTGAGCAGTCGCATTTGGACGCAAGATTTGCAACTCCTGAGAGTAATCTTACAGTAACCAAAGTTTTATGGTTCTTCAAAATTTGTATAAAATTTGAATAAAAAATTTGAATAAAAAACTTTACAAAAATTGTAATTACGAACCCTGTAATTGTGTGCTGTCAGAGTACACTCAAAGAATAGTTTTTTGAGTTGTTGAAAATTCGAAGCAGCGGAGGTGCGTTACACTCTAGTTTTATATTATTTTCTTTAGTTTTATTTACACTTGCGAAGCGAGTGTAATAGTATGAACCTTATTTTTGTTCCAATATAAATCGCAAATATTGGTGCGGCTCTTTTATGGTGCGGCACCCCAATAAAGGTGGGGCACCTTTACAGCTTTTTTGAAAGCATGTACTTTGACTTTCAAGTAGTAATACGTTAACACAGTTGATTCTTTTTTAATTCATTAACTGAACCGAAAAAAGTGAATTATTTCAAACATAACAAAAATGAAAACTCGATTTCAGAAATTTTCCAACTCCATATATCTCGCACTTTTTGAAATGCACAATTTGCATAATGTTGCTTTATGCTTTGCGATTTGTTATAAGCAAACTTAGTGTGGATGCCTTCAGTTTGTTATATTCCAAATTATTACATGCAAAGTTGAGCTTATTTGTGTTTGGAGCCCATTTTGCTGAATCGCTTTGGCAAGTTATTAGCATATTTAGCTGCTTTATTCGTGACTACTATTTGTCGGTTGTTAGGCTTGAGTGGATAGTGAGTGAGACTCAAAATATCTTGATTGCTGTAGGTCGCAGATTCAAATCCTACGCGTAGCCGAGTTTTTGATAATTCGAGGCTTACTTTTACATTTTCTTATTTCACTTGATAGAGCTGCTTTTTGGTCGTGTTATCGCAAGTGTTGCGAAGAGCAGCTTATTCTCTGTGTTAATGTTTTTTTTTCGAAGTACATATAGCTGTGTTCGAATCTATTGCACAAGGCACAAGACAAGGTAGGTTATACTTAAAGCAGACCAACTGATCTCGATATCTAGTGTCTCCAAATTGCCAAGCATTTTAAGAGTCGATAAACGTAGTGAATGTAGTTGGGCTACTGTTATGAGGAAAATGGTGATCATAAAGTATCATCAAAATTTAGAAAGCTTCAACGTGGCACATGTTTTTTAAATCAATATTCGAAAATTTAAAAAAAAACAGGCAATCGTTTTAGTTGCAACTGTGTAGTACCGAACAAAAAGTAAATGGTGTTCGGGCGAAATTGGATGTCGTAAAGTAGTACCAAGTTGGACTCTTTGGATGGCAAAGGGTTGGATTCTCAATAGGAGAGCTTCCCCCAACCGCCTCCTCTGATCCAGTTGTTTCAATTAGCTTTATCAAAAAGATTCAAAGAGCCCTAGTGAGAGGTAATTCTTTTCTACGAAATTCAAACCCGAAAAAAATATATTTCGAAAATTCGATATTTTGTTTCGGCATCCTTGAGTACCTCAAGACTTGCTTATTATGGCTTCTCCATGTGGTTTGTTTTGCTACTTTGCGTAGTCATAAAATAGTTTTAATTGTGGTGTGTTCAGATGCAGTAATTATCAGACGATCATTCCTCAAAAGAGAATCACTACTAATGTGAGAGTGTGTGTGAACTGCTACACCGCCCTGACTCACTCTCTCTCAACTCCTTTGCACACCCAAACTGGCAACGGAGGAGGAGAAAACATCACATCGTCTTTACCTTCTTAGCCCTACTCTGTGCCCGATATTCTGTAAAACTAGAAAAAGTGCAACCGACAATAATTACCATAACTCATCAGTTGCCAAGAAAAACTTATCACACTCATTAGAAGTACGTCAAAAAAACGGCAAAGTAGAAGTGCGCTTAGGAGGACAAAAAGCGGCGAAGCAGAAACTTACTATTGAAATTCTTCTGCTCTAAAACATCAAAACTGCAACAAACGAAAGTCCCATCTCTGAAAGAGTGTTGAATTGTTGAAAATTTGTTTAAATATATACTGCAATAGTCTTTCTAGCTTTCAATTTTTTTGTGATTGAAGTCATGCGAAGTGTTTTTTTTTTAAATACATCTACAAGTTCAGAAGTTATTTTATTTGAAGTTGATTGCTTAATAGGATTTTGAATACGTGGTTAACCATTTTCATCTTAGATAAATAGCTTCGATTCTTCATTAGTTTCTGTTCGCATCTATTTTTTTCTGAGCTAAACCACAAAGAAACCAGTGTTTATTTTGATATATTCTGAAAAATAGTATTGTAAATTTCAAGTAGTGTAGATATAAAATGTATCGTAATTTTTGCTATTTTATGTCAATTCCATCAGTTAAAATTATTTATGGGAACTAATAAATGCTATTGCATTCAATTTTAGGTGCTGAAATATTTTGAATATAAATTGTAACGACTAGATAATAGACGTAAAATTATCGAAAGTTTCTTGATCGTTTGTGAGTCCTAGTCACTCGAACGTAAACTCCAGAATTTTTGCTAAAGAGTTTTAAATTATTTTTTGGTAATTTGAATGCAAAAAATTGAGTTAGGTTGCAATGCACATTACGCAGGATTAGATTAAATTTTTTGCAGCTAATCTGTCTTGTGTCTTGGTAGATGTAATGTGATTTGTTGAACCATTCCAAGCCAAAAGATTGGGATATTCGAAACAAACTTTGCAACAACAGAATTTTCCTCAAATCTCATGTAATCTTATTTATTATTTGCCATGCAATATATGATCATGATAGTGCTAAATTTTTTTCATATTAATAAAAATTTCTATTTCTGTAATTTATTTAATTTCACAAAGAAACTCTTCTCAAACATTTTCAAATCAAAAATTGAGTGTACCATAAACCAGAACCCAAACTAAGAAGATAAGAAAAGCTAACTTTTAAAGATTTTGACGAGCAATTGAAAATTAGTTATGAGTCAGTACTCAAGTGTTTCCACAAGCAAGCGATTGTGTTATCTACGTGTTAGCTTTTAAACATAAGTCGGACATTTTTGTGGTAAATTAAAAATTGAATGAAATTGTCTTGTTGCTCCGACTTTTGAAGAAAACGGAAGATTTATGATTGGTGTGGTTTTTTTTATTCAGTCAATTTTCGGCGATGGAAATAATAGTTTTTAACAAAAAAAATTTATGCAACATTGAGGATATCGACTCCCTGAAATCAAATTTAAAGCAATAATTTACCTCGGATCTTTTTTACAAAGTTTTCAGGGTTTGAAAGTTGCCAATTTGGACATGCTCTGGATTATTTTATGCGCACTTTGAAGATTTTATCCATAATCCTGAAAGCGTAACGCTCATTATTTATGCGTGGCGAATTATCCCGCACAAAAAATCGTTCCAAATTAAGTTGAGGCTAGCTAATTGGTTGCACTAATTTCGTACGAATCAAATTTATACGCTTGATCTTTGCTTTTGTCCAGATTTAAAAGTTTTTGTTCCGACTTTCGTAATGAAAGTAACGGATTATTTGTGCTCGGGGTGGGTTTTTTCTTCAGTCAAATTTTTACAAGCCATTTTTGACGGATGTTTTTTTTATATCATTCGACAGCTATTGCTGTCCTGAGCTTATATTTGAAATGATATTTCACCTGTGATCTTTTTTCGTAATGTTATGGGGGTTTGAAGATTGCCATTTTGGGGCAATTAACGAGCGATATATTTCGCGCTATTAACGCGTAAGCGGAGATTTAATCCGTCTTAGAAAATGCTCCAAATTGGTTCAAGGATGCCTTTATGCCATAGTTGATTTGTTAATAGGAGCGAAATCTATCACTTTGTACTTTATATGGCGCGTGGGGGGATTATTTTCACAAAAAAATCTCGAATTTAAAAAAAAAGAAACTCAGTTTTTTTATTAGAATTAATTTTTTCAAATTATTACTGCTACATAGGCCTTAAAAGGCTGTCGAAAAACTCAGGGCTTTGCCCTGATACGAGCAGTCTTGTTCAATATTTACTTTTATCCTATTCGATATAGATTAAGGGGCAGTCGGAAACTTAGGGCTTTGCCCTGATATACAAGTAGCCTTACTATTTAAGCAGTGGATTTTAAGTGTAAAAAGAACGAAGTGCAGTGACTTTCACTCAGATAGATTTTGAATAATTTTTGTTGGTTTTTTCTTTCAGAAATAGGTCTTAGATTGATCTAGTAACTACAGAAAAGCATCATACATATTTTTGATTCTTTTTGCTCTTTTTGACTTTTGCTCTTTTTGATTTAAACTCAAGTTCATTGCTAAAAAGTAGACAATTTGCGCTCTCCAATAACGAAAGCGGTAATGAAATGGTGTGAAAAAATCTAACAGATTTCTAGTTTCGAAAGAGCATTTTAATTTGAGCTTTTCCTGCGTCATAAAGAGTTTACACATCGACCCAATTTGTTTAAAATGTGTTAATATTATCAAAAAATTTCATTTATAAATTGTTTTTGCAATTCAAATTGCTCCGATCTGATATGTTTTTTTTTCGAAACTCGAAAAGTGTTAAATTTTCAAAAATGTTCAATCATCTTCTTAGCGAAAAAAGTCAACCTAAAAGATTGATCATATTCGTTTTCATGAATGTATTTGGCTTCCGTTTTGGCGGTGTGGACTCTCAGTTTCTAGTTGATAAATGTACGGGTACTGTCATCGCATCATAGAAACTGCGTAAATATCAACGTGCCCTAATGCCACAATTAATACCGTCAAAAACAATCGGTCATGTCGGCACTAACCTAGCATACTTGCGTGTCAAGGATCTCTTTGAAGACACTTTTATTGATCGTGTCAATATCGTTTTGACCAGGACAACGTTGTTTGCGCTCGTATTAAAATTGTGATGATTGGACTCGTGTTTTGTTCTACAGACGTGGAAATGGGTCGAGGAAACTTGGATGAACTCGTTTCAAACTTCTCAGTTGTTTTTTTTTTTCAAAAAGGATCTTTTTTGATCCAGTTTTCTTAATTTAGATCAAATGGATGAAAAAACAACAAATCATGAAAATTTTAAGAACTATATATATTTCAAAATGTGCAGGTTGAAATTCTTTAAATAAATGCACCTCGGTTACTTTGAGTCCATGAAAATTTTCTAACACTCTTTTTAATACGTTTTCCAAATGAATTATTGGAAAAGTTAATCAAAGTTGGAAAAAGCTCTTTAGCGCGAGAAAATCTTGAAAAGTAACACTTTAAAAGTTTTTTTTTGTTTTTTTTCTAAGTAAAATTTTTGACTTCGCTTCTGACGTGTACTTTGTAGAAATATTTTGAAATCAATACCTTTTGAATCTATTATTTCGATTGGCACCAAAAACACCACGCAATTTTGAAAACAAAAAGTAACAGTAGAACGGCTACAATTGTTTCATTTTTGCAGATATTTAACAAAATCGATATTTAACAAAATCGAACAAAAGATAAAAACTAAAACGAAGCTCCGAGTCTTCTTCAGGCCGTGCTGATTTGTTTTTTGTTTTTTTTTTTTCAGGAAAAATGAGAAATTTTGTTCGGGCTCAAATTTATTTTTATTTAGCAGTTTTCACTCTTCTTAGATTCAGTCCATATCTTTCTTAAAAAGAAGACAGACATCACCAAGAACAAGCAAAACTGTAAAAATCCCAAAAACGTGATCGGACGTCTGATTTTAAAAATGGATTTTGATTTTCAGTTTTCCTACGAATTAAAAATTTACCTATTGAATCAGTTTTTTAAAACTGGGTTGCAGTTTTTTAAAATTGGGTTAGTTTTTTAAAAGTGTCAGTCACTAAATGGAATTCAAAAAGCTTCAAGCTCGTTTTGTTGAAACACCGAATTTTAAAAGTTGACTTTTCGACAAAAAGGGTTTTCCTTTTCCTTGCGTTCATTGACTCTTTTTAAAGTGTCTATTGGCTGTTCTCAGAACTTCGGAAGTTTTGCGCAGAATCATTCAAATGAAATGTGTACATCACAACCTACAGAAATAAACTCGAAATCACCGAAACTGCCCGCTAAACTTATGTTTCTCTCTAGCAGATGGACCGCCTGGAGAAAAACCAGAACTTGGCTCCGAAAAAAAAACAGGGCCGAGCCCCTCCGTGCTGGTTAATGCTCTCTGCTTTCAAGCGTGAGTACAGAGCTTAAAAGTTTCACCAGACAGCTCACTGCAATCACCAGTGACTAGCTAGCTACACCAACAATCAATTCTCTTCAGTTACCTTGAGTCCATTGTCTTTTTTCAACTCTCTGTTGCATATGTTTTTAAATTGAATCATGGAAAATGTTCATTAAATTTGAAAACTGATGCAAAGAAGTCGTTGTTTCTCCCACGAGGAAAGAACTTCTTGCTGTGTTCGAATTGAAAATCATATAATAATCCTTCCTTTTGCGGTCAAAAACTTACAAGAGCTAGTGAAATGTTTCAATAGTACAAACCAATTTGACCGAACAATTTTACCCAACTTACAAGCAAATAGGACAAAAAAGCGTATAGGGCGTTTAAAAAAGTAAATCGTAGCTCTTAAATTTAAATGTAAAGCTGTAGTTTGCGCTTCCTAAGTGAGAGGAAATCATGAAATGTTACAAAATTGTACAAGTTTATTTTTTGTTTTTGTTTAAATTTTTTGACTGTGTTTCCGACAGAAATTGTAGTTAACTCACTACAGCATTTTAAAAATAAGGTTTTCAATTATGATTATACATCCCATCTTTTATTTCGGTTCGCACCAAAAACACCACGCAACTTTGAAAACAAAAAGTTACAGTGGAACGGCTACATTTGTTTAGTTTTTGTGGGTTTTTATTGAAATCTATTCGCACCAAATATATGCACGCTAATTTTTAATTAAATTGAAGATAAATTTTATGAATCTTGAAGTTCTTAGTAATTCTTATATGATGAATTTTCTCTTATATTTGCAATTTTGAATATGCAATTTTGTTTTTCTTAAAAATGGACAAGCGTAGTTCGGGCTCTTCAGAAATTTGGTTTTTGTTTTTACTTTCAGAAAATTTGAGAAAATTGTTGCGTCTCAAGTTTATTGTTTGCAGTGTCCTTTTTCAGTTTTTTAGGTTCAGTTCATTTCATTTTTTAAAAGAACGGCAAACACCACCATTGCACGGCCAAAGTGTAAAAGTCACAAGAACTTCCAAAATGGACTTTAAGGATCAGATATATCAACAAGGTCATTTTGTTGAGACATTGAAATTAAACAATTTTGTTTTTGATTTTTCAACAGTACGTATTCACCGATGCTTCTAAGTGCGCCATGGCAGCTTGCATATACATCTGTATTTCGAACCAAGACCATAAACAATCATCAATTATGATTGGAAGAACCAGTGTCGCACCACTTAACCAAGAAAGCATACCCAAGCTCGAACTGAAAGCTGCCGTGTTGGCGCACGTCTTTGCAAATTTACAAACGAAGAATCTCGACTAACTTTCAACGCCATTCACTACTGGACGGATAGTACGACAATAGTTTCATGGATTAACAATCAGGAAAAGCAGAAATAACACTGTTAAAATAGAATCAACAAAATTCTGTCCGTTTCTGAAGCCCAACAGTGGCATCATTTACCCGGTAAACAGAACCCGGCCGATCACGCTACAAGATGTACTAGCTTCAGGACGCCGAACAATTTTGGTTGCAACCACCAGAATTTCTACTCTTACCAAAATCTGAATGGCCTCATCCAAAACTGCAGGTTAACGCAGTTACTCAACCGGTTTTCACAACTACAGATGAGGAGAGAAATACTGCAATAAAAGTCGACAGTGCAACCAACGCTATGGTGAAACGCGAAAACTTTTATACTAGCGCAAAAAGTGAACCAATCCTTGAAGTCTTGAGATTTTCCGATTGGTTTTGTCTACTCCGCGCAACTGCTCGTGTTGTACAGTTCAAGGACATTCAGCAAAAACGAAAACGCGATTTAAGAATAGACGACCGGGAGATGGCGAAAACTTTTCTCTACGGGCAATCACAACACGCTACTTACACCGATACTATTAAACGTTTAACTACTCACAAAGCATTAGACCACAAAGATGCTTTACTGCCATACTCACCATTTATGGATGGTAATCTTATTCGTGCGCGAGGACGATTGAGACATTCACCAATGCCAGATTCAACTAAGTACCTTATTATTCTGTATGCAAAGGAACCTTCAATTCAAAATATGATCAAAAACGCACATTATAAATGCATGCCCCTCGGCACCGGATTTGTATGACACTACTTGCAACAAAGCTTCATAATTTTGGGTCTCAGAAAAGCCTTGAGACGCATTCGCCACCACTGTTTCTTGTGCCGGCCGCCGCTCTCAAGGAAAAAAATTTAAACCCTCTCATGGCTGATCCACCTGCACAGCGCTTCGATGGCCCGGTAACTAATCCATATCCCTTCAAGAACGTTGGACTTGACTACATTGGTCCATTCTACATTGCTAAAAGTGATACCACCGAAAAGAACTAAATTTGTCTCTTTACTTGTTTAACAACGCTTGCAATCCACCTGAAAACTAGCGACAATCTGACAACTGAAAGTTTCTTGACAGCGATTCTAGATTCATGGCACGACGTCGTTCTCCTAAACCAATTCTTTCGGATAACGCAGCATACTTTGTCGCCGCACGTAAACAAATCAAGAAACAACCCTTAAATATCAACAAAGACGAAATAGCAACTAAGCTTCAGCTGAAGTCAATTGACTGGCGTCTTAACCCACCATCTGCTCTTCATTTCAGTGGGGTGTGGGAACGCCTCGTTTCGATCATCAAACGTTTTTTTTTGAATCGAGAATCGGACAGACTTTCCAGGGATCTTTTTTCAATTTTTGTAGTAGAATGCGAAGGCCTCATCAACTCAAGACCCATGCAAGTGGCGATATTAATAATACCTTACCACTTACACCTAACCACTTCCTACTTGGGAGGCCATTCATTTACGCTCCCGCAGCTTCATTCTACGGCCAAACAAATACCAACAAACTAAGCAACAAATCCTGGAAGCTAACCAAGGACCGACTAGACAGCGTCTGGAAGCGACTACTGAAAGAATACGCTCCAACCTCGACCAGACGAACCAAGTGGAACCAAACAGAGGAAGTCATAGAAAAACATGACCTCATAAACCTGATGGCATTGCGCACTTGTGCGTAATCAAAACAGCGTTAGGAACACTTACTAGGCGCGCGGTGAAACTAGCTTTAGTAGAACCAAAACCGGATTTTTTTTTAGACGTCACTTGCAATTGTAATACCAAGCCTTAAACCATCTGGTCTCCGTAACTTATGCCCTCTCCGAGGACATTTATGATATGAATAATCTTTCTCGTGAATTACTGGAAAAAGCGGTAAATTCCAGTAAATAACTAATAAATTATTGGGTGCGAATATAATTTTGGATGATATAATAAATGACGACTTCTGACAAGTCAATGAAGTTAATTTAAGACACATATGAACAAATAGTCCTAAATACTGTTTGTTACTCTTTGCTTTTAAGCGTGAGTACAGAGCTTAAAACATTCGCCAGACAGCTTGCTGCAATCACCAGTGACCACCTAGCTAGAAACCTCGGCAACCAGCACAGAAATTCCACTCCAAATGACTCGGTTCTGCACCCCTTGAAACAAAAGCAGCTGGGGAGAGCTGAATGGAAATCTAAAGCACTGCTTTGCAGTCAAAATAAAGAAAAGGGAACCTGTAGTTAGCTCCCTTGAAACAACCGCGGTCTGAAACCTTGACATCGCTCTTTTAGGGTATGAATTACCGTGGATGCGATGTGGAAGGATTAAAAACGAACATGCTACAAACTTAATTGGAGAGGCTAAATTGGAGAGGCCCAATCCATTTTGATTATCTACACGGACAATAAATATGCATGAGAAAAGACTAGAAACGAGATGGCCGTCACCACAGCCATAGATGCTTTTGTCCCCCTAATTGCCTTCTTAGAGAGAATCCGAGTATGCTAGATCATGTTTCTTCGAAGAAGAAAAGGAAGCTGTCCGAATTGTGATACTCAGAATCGTATCTCAGAGTCTCGGTCAAGTCTCCATCGACAGCTAGTCTCAAGCGTCAGTGCTGGAGAACATTATGCCAGACACTGAAATTGGTGGAAACCCATTCATGTTGGAAGCCCAGGCAACGATTTTTAACAAAAACAGAAGCCACGACTCTTAACGAGAAAGCACCACAAAGCCATTTAAAAAAACGGCAAAGCGGGGATTATGAGAAACAATTAAATCCCCCATCATCTCATCAGCAGACAAATGTCTAAGCAGAATCTATCCAACATCAGGTTGACTTGACAACTCGCAAAAAAAACTCTGAAAAAATGCTACTCGCAAGTTCTTAACGAGAGGCTAACTCACAAAAAGACACAGGAAAATTGTGTTTTCTTTTGATCGAAAGTTGAAATAAAAAAGCAGGTAATTATATGAGCCTTTGATGCATCGAATTTTGTTCGATATACTATGTTATTACGGATCGAAAGAGCTTCGAGCTGCAAAATTATATCACTGTTTTGATAGTTTTAAGGAGTTTCTGATAAGTTTTGCTGCAATTGTTGGAATTTAGGACATTTATTTAATTTTTCTTATTTAATTTTTCTCCGGATTTTAACCAAACCAGACATTTTTTGATGATTATTTCCTTTCTTCAGTCTGCTGATTGAATTTTGATACTCTTGGGTGAGCATAACCCATCCCCAACTGCATAACTTGATTCCAGCCTTCGGCCATTTTTTGGCTTCACATTATAGGATTGTAGAACTGATTCCTGATTTGTAGTTTTAACTATTTTTTATTTATAATTCAATAAGTCGTGTTTTATTAGGGCATCCATTGCGAGGCCAAGCTGTACACTGAATAGGCGCAAAATATTGCGTCTGTATATTCCTGGATTCCAGAGATAAATCTATAAACACAAAACGTGAAGAGATTTCACGTACAAAATTTCCGCGGATTTTGGGTACAAATGCCTGTAACTTAAATTTAGTCGGCACATTAATTTCATCGCGGGTTCCGCAACGAGCGAAAATTTCTAGTTGTTCCGGAATCCGTAAAAGTAAGCAGATTCCGCAAATATATGTATGTTCTGCAAATTTATGCGGATTCCGCTTAAAGTTTGCGGATTCCAGGACAACTTAAGGTCACTACACTTATTATCAGCTGTTTGTGGATTCCACAAATTGTTCCGGATTCCGCAAATTTTGTTGTAGATTCCGCAAAATTGCCTGCTTTTCAATCAACTCGTAGCAATACAGTGATTTAGCTATTTGTCCGTGGATTCCAAAACTGCAGAGAAGCTCAAACGAAACTGGCAATATTGCGGTCTCCGCAACATTTCTGTTTTTGGCTTTTTAAAGAATTCGCCTACATTTCACGAAAAGCTTGGCCTCGTAATGGTTGGTGGTAGGGAAACCGTAAAAGAGCAGCTTGGACTCTATCTCTATTCTTCTTGCATAAGAATCAGTTTTAGTGTAACAAAAGGCTTTACAAGTTCAAATAAGATCAACGTGCGTTTGGAATGATCGCCCATTTATATAAAATTAGTTTTTGGAATAATTAGTGTTTGGAATCAACTATGTTTATAATTCAGCTTTATACCCCATGAAATAGCTTGGTTTCCTTTTTTCTAGTATTCAAGATTGGATATATATTATTCTTTTAGTATGTGACGTCGGAAAAATGTTAATTTTTTCAGTATTTGAGATTTAACTGATGAGTACAAGTTGTTGATTAGAACTGTTGCACAGTCTCTCTGAAGACCCACAAAAACAGATTTTACTTAATTATGTAACTTCAAGACGTAATTATATATGGTACCAGTTACCAATTCCCTATACAATTACGGGTTCCGCAACAACTGAACTGTAACGTACCTTTTTTGTATTAGTTGTTTGTGGACTCTTCAAACTGTTCCGGATTCCACAAAAATTGTTGCGTTTTCCGCAAATTCGTCTAATTTTGGAGCAATTTTTAACGTTACAGTGTTATATTTATTTGCGTGTGGAATCCAAAACAACAAAGAAGGAAAAAAAGTAGCAACTTTGCGGTTTCACTTATTTATTATTATTTGGATCATTAAAAACCAAGATAATTTTCACTCTTGCTGCAAATAGAAACGCAGATTGGCGGGCAATTTTTTTTTTTTAGTAGTTGGTTATTACTTGGGTTAGGGAAAAACACATTTGTCAAAACGTCTCAGAGTAAATTGGTTTTCAGTATAATATTCCAAATGTAATTACAATGGCACCACAGAACATTGCAAAAGAAAACTGTTTTATGACTAAGGGTACGGAAACGAAAAATAAAGAGAAGTTATCTTTCCATAATATTATATGTATAATATTTTTTGAACATTATTTAATCAAACTCAAACTAATAGTTTATACAAAATACGAGAACGGAGTGGATAGAATAAGAGTACATTACGCAGCTACTGAGAGTTTGATGATAAGTTCAGAGAAAAAAAAAGAAGATAGCAAAAAAAGAAAAAAACTTTTTTTCCATTTCTATTTAATATTCCTACCAAATATATCCGCAACAAGAGCTGAAGCAAGGTCCTTGAGATCGCGCGGTTACTACAACCTAATAATTTGACTCTAGTAATCAGGATAAACTATAGTCTTTGTATAGTCATAACAATTTGACCACGGTTGCAACATGGTATTCAAATAAGGCCAAGCTTTAATCTTACTTTGGCCTGTTCCAAGCACTGTACATTGATGAAGTCACGATTTGAAAAAAAAAACATTTTTTTTTGAAGCACCGCGGCTGAAAAATGTATATTCAGTGTTTATGAAGTTCTACAAATTAGCTAACTGGTAGTCTAGTGACTCTTCGTCTTGGAAATGACCATTTTCCTCATAAAAAATCATCCCTGCAATCCACCTAGAGAAGTGAGGCACACTTGTGAAGAAACTTCCTCCAATATAGCAGTCAAACCATTTCTTGCCAAAAGCGTAATATGTTAGGCCACCAAAGAAACTAGCCACTCCATAAACACATGCTATGGTTATACTCTTTTTAAAAAATTTTCATCTCCAAGCAAAATTACTTACAAAAGCTCCAAGCGAAATTACAAAAAAATAACGTAATTCTACGTTCAAAGTTTTTGTGTTCATTTGTTTCTTGGAAAAATCAATTGCAGCTCTTTTTCTTGGAAGACCCTGTTTTACAAAACTTTCTGCATTGCTGCATTTTTTTTTCATAAATTAAGCTTTTGAAATATTGGTTCGGCCGCTGAAATGAATGTTGAAATGTTTTTTTTTTGCATTTTTTTTGTTTGAAAAACAGAAATTATTTGAATGAATCTTGCCTAATGAAAAGGTCGAAGAAAATAATTCGATAATTTGAGTTTTAAAAAAGAGTCGGGCCTGGTTCGTTTTCAGGAAATTCTCCGAACACGTAAAGAGGTCCCCCACTGTCGCCGTAATAAATATTGTCCACATTACGACCATGCAGCCTCCTTGTATATAATAGATCTGGTCGGTTTCCCGTTAGGAAGTCCCAGCACCTGGGTGCTTTTTGGAACAGCAAAATTTCTTTGAGCTCGTTCGAAACTAAAATGAGCAAAGCTGAATTTTTTCCTTCAACCACTTTTTATAAATTGGAATTCTATAATCGAACATTGATAGCTGAAAAAGATAAAAAGATGGAAAAAGTGTAAAAAACTAAGGACTGAAGTTTCTTGAATTAATTTTGGTTCACAGATTAGGTTGCCTTGAAGTTCTTACTCAATAGATAATGATGTTGATTAGCCAGTCAAGATGGAAGAATAGAAAACTGATTTTCACAACGGAAAACATAAAGAAAAATTAGAGGACTGAAGTTTTTTGAATTAGTTTTATAACACACAATAGATAGTTTTGAAATTCTTAGTAATTAGATATTGATTTGAGTTAGCCAACCAATATTGAAGACTGAGTTTTCATGAAATCCTTTTTCATCACACAATAGATTGTTTTGAAAATCTTAGTCAATAGATATTGATTTTAATCAGCCAATCGAGATTGAAGAAGAGAAAAATGAATTTCACAACGGAAAAGTTGTGTGCAAAATAAAGACTGAAGTTGCTTGAGTTCATTTTAAATAACAAAACAGACATTTTGAATCATTAATAAAAAGATATTGATTTCAACTAGCCAGTCGAGATCAAAAGAGAAAACTGACTTTCACAACAGAAAAAAGTGGAAAAATTATGGACTGAAGTTTCATATCACAAAAAAACTGTTTTGAAATTCTCAGTAAATTGAAATTGATTTGAATACGCCATTCCAGGTACAAAAGTATAAAACTGATATTCGCATCAAAAAAACTAGAAAAATTTAGTTCTGAAGTTTCTTTCTTAAATTTGTTTTTCATCCCGAAAAAAAATGTTTTGAAATATTAGTAAATAGATAATAGTTTTAATCAGCCAGTTGAGATTGAAGAAGAAAAAAAAAATTCACAGTGGAAAGAACAAAAAAAAACAAAAAAAAACTGTTTTGAAATTCTCAGTAAATTGAAATTGATTTGAATACGCCATTCCAGGTACAAGAGTATAAAACTGATATTCGCATCAAAAAAACTAAAAAAAATTTAGTTCTGAAGTTTCTTTCTTAAATTTGTGAATTTTTTTTTTTCATATCACAAAAAAAACTGTTTTGAAATTCTCAGTAAATTGAAATTGATTTGAATACGCCATTCCAGGTACAAGAGTATAAAACTGATATTCGCATCAAAAAAACTAGAAAAATTTAGTTCTGAAGTTTCTTTCTTAAATTTGTTTTTCATCCCGAAAAAAAATGTTTTGAAATATTAGTAAATAGATAATAGTTTTAATCAGCCAGTTGAGATTGAAGAAGAGAAAAAAAAATTCACAGTGGAAAGGGTGTGGAAAAATAAAAACTGATGTTTCTTGAGTTCTTTTTAGATTACCAAACAAATTGATTTGAAATTCTTAGTAAATAGATTTTGGTCTAATTCAGCCAGTCAAGATGGAAGAATAGAAAATGACGCTTACAACAGCTACACTTCTGAAAGTGTAGAAAATTTAAATATTGAATTTTTTGAGTTTGTTTTATATCACAAAATGGACAGTTTTGAAATTCTTAGTAATTAGATATTGATTATTTAAGCCAGATTAAAAAGTAACAAAAGAAATTTATGTCTCTCTTATAATATGTTTTGTCATAAAAACTTGCGAGGTCGAAAAAAACTGTTCTGTTTGCACAAGATCCGGCTATTTATCTTTAATCTCAAAGAATGATTTTTTATTCTACCTTAAAATTGAACTTAAATCAAAATGCTTGCAAAAAAAATTCAGCGTTTTGGTTGAACTAGCTACTTTTTTTTGTCTAAAGGCGCGTTATTAGACCCTAAGATACCATAATTTTAATATTTGAGGAAGGGGCAAAGAAACGCGGTATGCCATTTCTTTTACCGAAACCTTCTACCCAAAAATAAGTTTTACGGCCTCTTTTTTGGTAAGGTTGCTTGCTTTCAGAAATTTGCTAGCAGCAGAATCTTTGACAAAATAAGGATCTTTAAGATGTTTTGGGAGTGTTCGCTTAACATAAAACTCCCTCCCCCTCCATTTTAAAATCCATTTCGAAAAAGTTTTAAATCCACTCTTGATCGTACATAAAATTCCAAATTACTTCTAAATTGTTACTCATGAACTATCTCTATTTCAGCCAAATAAATCGCGAGAAGTGTTCGCTTCATTTTTGAATTCTTAATGTGGGGAAAAATTCTGTTAATTTACTCTGAGTGGCAAAAAAAGAAAAGCCCAAAAACTTTTTGATAATTTGATATTAAACATTAAGGTATCTTGAGCAAAATGCAAAAGTTACACCGCTTTCTCTTGACATCGAGTTATAGATATTGATTTTTTTGTTATAAATAAAACGAATAATTGATAATTTATATATTATAATTGATGAAATATTTTATAAGCGCTTGTACCTCAGTTTACTTCCAAGATAATTCTCAAAAAATCATTTAAAGACCTTTCTGGTCGACACTCATCGAAAGTTGTGGAGAACTGGAAGAAAAAACATGAGTAATTAGAAGTTTTGTAATTGTTTTGTCTAGGATTCTGTGCGTTTACAGTAGAAAAAGACAGTGTAACCTGAGGCTTTTTAATTTTTAAACTCATCTATTGTTTCACTTAAGTTGACAAAATACTGGACAAAACATGTGCAAACAATTATGGTTATTGAATTTTCCTCCTCAGTCCTCCGAAGCTTTCGATGAGTGTCGGCTAGAAAAGTCTTAAAATCATTTTTTTGTAATTATTTTGAAAGGAAACTGTCGCATTTATTTCGTGAACGCGGTTTCCAAATTCAACGCATTGCAAACTCTTACTTGGAGCCCAATGTGTGTTGGAATGGGTACTTCCCGTTCCACAGAAGCCGAGAATAGTGCAGTCGGTGACATAGAAAGGACAAGGAGGTAAAATTTGGTGAGAAGCGAACGTGTGGTTGCGCACTTTGAGAATGGCGACATCGTTTGTCATACGCCATATTTTGTTGGTTCTGAAATAAAGCTGTTTGTTCAAGTAATTTGACAACTGATCTCAAGAAAAAGTTCCTGCAAGAAGGGCCCATGCTGCAGCGCATGTAGCTCAAAAAGTTGATACTTCTGGCAAAATAATATGGGCAGGTAACAGGTAAAAGACAAGTAAAAAATGGATATTTTAGTAATACAGGTAAAAGATTAAGAACGAAAAATATATCTTCGAGTTTATTTAATGCGCTTCTAGAGCGGAGCCTTCAAAGTTAGCTACCCGAAGTGTTCATGAAAAACTCACATCCCGCACTGACAAACTTGAGGTTGAAATCGATTTAAATACATTTTTATAGAGATAAATTTTGTATAGAAATCGAGGTTTGATAGCCCCTTCAGGTATGTATATCGATTTAGAATGGAATAAATGGATTTTTGTGGAAGAAAAAAGTTAATCTTATTGCATAAATAATGCGTTTAAATCGAATTAAATGGACTTTTGCAAGGTTGTTAAACTCATCAAAATCTCAATAAAACTGATTTAACATAATTTTTTGTTTAGAAGCTTGATCAAAATTTCTACGCAAGAAAATTTGAAGGAGAACCACAGAGAGCAAAAGTGACTTGAGGAGATTTTTCACCCCAAATTTTTTGTGTTTAAGGGATTCTCTTTCAAATTGCGCTATACTAAGTGTTTCTGCGGTTATGAGAAGTACAACTCAAATGTCGTTTTTATTATCACTGTTCTTGGCCCAATTTTGTTTGGAAAGTTCCATATGATTTTAAAAAAATCATTTTTGGTACAAAAAGTTTAGATATTAGTACTTCATGACTTATTTTCAGGCAAAGTATCAAAACAAAAAATCAATTGAAAAGCTTATAATAAAAAACTTATGTATTTTTTCACTCGTTGATAATCTGTATATTTTGTGTATAAAATGGATATAGAAAAAAGTCCATATATTATGTGTATAAAATAATCTGTATAGTATGTGTTTAAGTTTGTTAAAATTGTTTAAGTTTAAAATTGTTTAAGTCATTTAAAATTGTTGACAAAAAAGTATTTAAATCAATTTAGAACCGATTGAAACAGATTGTTAAGCTACATTTGTGTTTAAGCTAAATCGACTTTTTAAGGTTTCTGCTACATTATCTATATAAAATCGATTGTAATTATTTCTTGTTAGTATGGGATGGTGCTTGCTTAGACGCATAATTTTGTTAAAACTTCGTAAAGTAAAAAGTCAGACAAAAATATTCAAACGATTTTTTGAGTTTTTCTATTGTCATTGAACCTTTCAAGTATCAATTTACTGTAGCACGAAAAAAGCTCCACTATAGAAACAAACTTTTTACACCACAAGTATTTGATGCTATAATTTTTTCAATTACTAAATTAACAGAAGTTGTGCGTACCTTTTTCCTGGCTTAGGATGATTTTTGCGTTCAATTTTCACATCACATTCAATTCTCTCATTCAAATGCTGTTTATTCGCGACTTAGGCTGCAATGAAAAACATATTGATTGTGTTGAATGTCGAGATTAACAATTGGATTTTAACTTTTAAAACTAATTCAGGATTCGATCTAGAGATAAAATTAGTTTTGTGCTCAACAATTGCAAAAACAAGGCTAATCAGAAGTTCTAGAAGCTATTTGCTAAAATCAATTGAATTGGACAAAAAAAGCACAAAAAACCACCAAAAATGACAAAGAGAACATTACACGCCAAGCAATCACTAACCAAGATTTTAAAAAAGTGCAGGCAAAAAAAACACAAGTAACTTTACCTTGAATTGGCAAACAAGGTGGATTAATACTAATGAAGTCAATAGTGAAAAAAGAGAAGGCAGAACAAATATTGGCTTGTACTGTTGCAAGAAAATGAAGCGAAAAGGAAAGGTTTTTGAGCAGGTGGTACGTGTGATGAACAATGAGCTCAGAAACTTTAAAACTTTAAAGACTGTTCAATAGTTAAAACATAAATTCCACTCTTAATTAGTTTTAATCTGCACAATAACCTCATCAAAAAATTTTAAAAAATACTTCATTGCAAATGAATAAAAAAATTTTCAAAGATTTTTTAAAATTCTTTTTGAAAACAAAAAATTTTTTGAGAAAATACAAATTTCTGACGTTTGCGAAACTTTCATCAAAGATAGCGATGCTTCGCAGGAGAGTGTAGAAATTAAATACAATCACGTAAAAAATTTTGTAACGTTTTTAACAACAGCAAAACATGTTAAGTATTAACGCAACTCAGAATGAAAACCCCAACAAAAATCCAAATTCGACTCACGAACTGCCAAAACTGCAAATTTCCAACTCAAAAAAAAGTTTTTTTTGAAACAAAAGTATTTCTTTTTCGCTCTCTTAGTACATTATTTTTCACAACACTAACTTAATTTCACAACATTAACTTAATTTTTTCGCTCTCTATGGCAATTAACTTCACAACACTCCTCTCTGAAGACTGAAGTTTTTTCTAGTAATTTTGATTCCTGTAAATTCAGTAAAAAATTAAATGAAAATTTGTTTTGATAGTGTGAGCTTCCAGCCGAATTTTTTTCCAGCACAATTAAAAAAGGATGAGCGTAGATTGATTCTGCTAACTTAGTGCAAAATATCTGGGGACGGTTAGTTAAACATAAAACAAAATTAGTTAAGAGTAAAAGAAACTTGGAGAGTGTTTTGAAGAGTCTTCCGTGGTTTAAACTGGATCAATGATCAGACACACAAAATTTATCAATGCTGCTAAAATTACATTCCAAGGCTCTTCAGCAACCAGCGCGTACCAAAACTGAAATGTGTAACAATTTCAAACTTTAAATTGTAATGCAAATGAAATGTTTCATTTCAGAAAGCTGGTGAAAATGAGATTGGAAACAAAGGTCACTTGAAGCTTATCGTAACCAAATAATTTAGATGGCAAAACGAACATGGCATGCAACATCACAAGTATCCACGGAACGGAGGGCATGCCCAATGAATGAGGCGACCGCCTTTTTTCTCCTTCTTTTTCTTCATTATCATCATCTTCTTGTTTTTCTTTTTCTTCTCTCTTTCTCTCTCTCTCTCTCTCTCTCTCTCTATCTCTTTCTCTCTCTTTCTCTCTTTGTCTCTCTCTCTCTCTCTCTCTCTCTCTCTCTCTCTCTCTCTCTTGAGTTTAAGCCAGAGGTAGCTTTCTCATAGAGTAATTTCAGATAAGGTACACCGTCTGTTCGTCACGGTGTTATTTTCGGCCGGATAGACTCGTGAAACTTCTTAGTCTATTACCAATCTTAATCTTACTCTTTTATCTCCTAGTCTCAATAGATCTAGTTTATATTGGTATTTGCGAGTTAGTCTTGGAGTTTGTCCAAAACAGAACAACTGTAGTGTAAGATTTGTTAAAATTGTTCTGGTGCTGAAACTACAAGAAGTTTCAGCACTTGCAAATAATTGTCAGTGTTAGTGATGGAATAAGATCGGTTAGTAAGTAATGTTTTATAGGGATAGTTTTTTAAATATACTAGTCCAGAACTGGTTCCACTCATTCGGGGCTTAGAGATTTTAAGTTTTTAAATGGTTTATCGTAGTGAAGGATGGATGGAGAGATTTCTTTTGTAGTAGTTGGAGCAGTGACTTCGTGAAGAACGGAGAGATGTAGATGTTTGTGTAGAGAAGAGAAGAACAGTTGTCCGGGTTCCAAAGGTGGGGTCTCTTTTGATCCTGGGTCGTCTTGAGTGATTGTGTCGAGATTCTAAATCGATGCAAAGATGTGTCGATTTCGTTAAGCTTAGAGCGAAACTACGTGTAAGATGAAGTTGACCCTTCCGTGTGAAGTGCCAAGTGACTAGGATCGATAGTTGAGATCATCATCGAGGTGGCCATTTGTCTTTTTCAATGGTTTCTTTTGCTGGAATGTCTAGTACATATTTTAACTCCTTTGAGGGTAGTGACTATGGCAACAAACCAATAGATTTGCCATTCCAGAGTCGGAATTTAATCGAGTTTTCATCTCCTTTGCTGCTCGTTCCTTGGGCTCTAAGAACATTTACATCATATTGCGTTTACCTTGCATCATATAGCTTAAGCCTACTCTTATAATTCCTTCGAACCGGGTTAAAGGAAACTTTGAAACGTGTGAAAACAAGTTAGAGTTGTTATCATTTAGATCTGAAACTTGAAATCAAATTATTAAACAATTCTTCGTGGGCGAGTTGTACGAATTGGCAAATAAAGAGAGTGTGAATTGTTGAAGAGTGAATAAATATTAAAAAATGACCTAAGAAATTTCACATAAAAGGGTTTGTTTTCATTTAATTTCTTTGTAATTTTAAGAATTCACTGCCAAGTTCTTAATATACTGCTGTTGTATTGAAAGTTACTGCGTTATTAATTCCTTGTCATTGTTAAATAGAAACTTAAAAGCTTAGAAAAAAGAGTTTACTATTTTTTTATTTGGATTTTTTCTTTTTAGATGAATGATAGGTGAAATCCAAAAAAAGAAAGTGAGAAGTTTATAAAAAAAAATAGTGAGTGTTTTGCTTTATTTTTTGTTGAAATGTAATGCATACTTACGGAGGGCTTTCATCAAGAAACAATCCTTTGGGGAAGTTTGTGCGGGTTGTGTCTGATGATGCGAAAAGTTTCGCAAGCATACGGATGATGTTTTTAATTTGAAGTAGTGGCCAGAGAAGCTCCAGCGCTCTGATGATGTTTAGTTCATCGTTATCCAGTGAGTATTCATGACGTTTGTTTCGGATTAAATTATTCAAGTTATGGTTATATTTAGTGCTATTGATCTATTCTAGTATACAGACTTCAATGGGCTGTATATATTCCCGGGGGACAATTAGTGCGTGAGAGTCAACAACATCAAACGACTTGGTCAGTGTGAAAAATATGTGCATTCGGCGAATGGGATCATTAATACGACGGTTGCCATAGAGATTAGTGTATGTCACGTTCCTTAGGTGTAAGGAAGTAAAAAAATTAGTGCGAAATGGTTAAATTTATTAAAGTATGCCTCATGCTTTAGTATTTT